TTTAGTTTATATTAATTATCAGAATTATTATAGTATTTTATTATATTTTAATTTAGAATATTTTATTTTTTAAAATTTTTTTTTTCTATTTTTAATAAATTAATATTATAGAATAGGATTTTTTAATTAATCTTTGATTAAATCAGACTTTTTTTTAGCTTATTTATTTTAGTTAATAAATTATTAATTTTTTTAAAATTTATTATAAATCTTTAATATTCACTTAAAAATATATATAGAATTCTTATTATAAAAATTATAAAAATTTTTAAATATAATGTCTTTATTAAAAGTTTTATTAATTTCATTTATAAATAGAGTTAATCTTTATCTTTCTTTTTTAAATAATTTAATTTTTAATATATCTTATATTATTATAATTATTTTAATATTTTAGTTCTAATACTGGTTGGTTTAGGATTTGGCTTATTTTAAAGTCTAATTTTTATTTATTAGTTTTATATAATTTATAAATTATAATAATAAAATCTTTTTAGTTTTAATAATAGTTTAATTATATATTAAAATTTAGATTAATTTTTTTTTATTTTTTAGTTATTATACAGCCTACAGCTATAGTAATAAAAATTTAATTAAAATTTATAATTTTAGATTTATATTTTTTTAGATAAATATTCTTTAAAATCGACTATTATTACTGTTAACTTATATAGAAAGAAGAAAACTTTTAAAAATAATAAAAATATATATTTTTTATATATTTCGTTATAAAAAATTTTAAAAAAAGATAAAGATAAAAAAATATATATCTATAATTTATTTATCATAAGATAATTAGAGAGATAAATAAGATAAATGTAATAAAAATATTAAATATAATTAGTAAAGCGGGCTGGATAGGCAATATATACGGGGTTGCCCTCACAAATAAAAGATTTTTTAGGCTTATAACTATTAAAGTTCTTGTTTTTTTAAATAAGTTTAATTAACTTTTATTTTTCTATACAAATTATGTATAAATATAAGATGAAAATAAAGTTAAAATAAAAAATTATAAAATTAAAAAAATTAAAAATTTAATAAATAAGAAAATAAATAAGATTATAAATGTCATATATAATTCTGATTAATTAAACTAAACTAAACTAAACTAATTTAAAGAAATAAAATTACTTGTTTACTAGTTTTCTAAATAAAAAACTAGAAATATTTACTAAACAGAAATAAGAATACAGGGGTGGAATAAATAGAGCGGGCTAGAACAATAGCTCTTATTCAGATAACTAAATTAAAAAGGCTAGGGCTTAGTGTTTTGATACCTAGGTGACCTTCCAGTCTAACAAAATCTAAACCAGCTCTTTTAATCTTTGCAGTTATTATAAAAAGATCTATATAGCAGATCTTGGATTATAGTTATATAATAGCTAACTAAGCTGGCTGTAATTATTTATAAAAATAATAACAGCTTTATAAATAAATCAATTGTAATAATATTTTGAAATAATATATTAAGATTTTAGATTCTGCAACAGTTATTTGTTTATCACACTATTTTACTACTTCAGCCCTTATATCTTACTTCTAATGCACCATAGATAAGCAAGGTAATAGGCAAATGGAATAGGTTTATATGTCTTGGCTCGCACTTATTAAGTGACATGTCTTGTTTAAGAGGACCGGCTTGTTGATTCTCGTAAACACCAATGGCTGGAATGAGTAATGTTAAAATGTTTAGGATTAGACCTCGGCAAAATACCGGAATCTCCTCACCGTGGATTAGTCCGATCAAGTATGAATCCACTCAACTCTTACTCAATACTTCTTGAATCTTAATTCCAGTGACCCCTCGTATTCTTCCGCGACTGACTACGGTGCATTACCGTGCTTTGACCCGATCACAGCCGGCTCTTGTATTCGGACGTCAAAACCCATCAATAGGAGAATTCCTCAAACTGTTGGGCAGTTTGCGAGGCAAGATCTGCCAAGGAACTAGAATAACCAAGGTCAGTTTGTGTATAATTCATGTCGAATGCCCTGTATTTCCTGCATTGGACAAGGGCGTGTTGTGGAGGTATCGGAGCGGTGCCGAAGTGGTAAGGGGTAAGATTCCGTTCCTGAAAGGGAAGAGCAACAACCACCTTGGACGCCCGCCACCCCGCCAGTGTTGATTATGCGGGCCTCGAGAGTAACAGGTATAGTCAAGTGCTCTATAGGTGACCTTCTGGTAGCAAGGAGCTTTGAGGAGATGGGCTTATCAGATGCGATGATTGGTGCAGCAACTCGGCTCGAGTGTGGCTGAAACAGCTGGAGGTTCGGATTTCCCCTGGGCGGTGATCCTGGTCATCTCCACTTCTCCCCGACCAAGCATTCTCGGAGCTCCACCGGACTATTCTAAGCATTTGCGTCCGAACTTGGCAGCCTTGGCCGGTTCAGCTTATCTTTGGCACTTGTTGATGGCCGGCTTCGCTCGGCAATTGCTGTCATATTGAGCCCCCACTCATAAATGCCGTCAATATAACCGTGCGTATGCAGAAGACCTGGGCGTGGTCCCGAGTACAGCGAACTCCTGGTAACTCCCCATGCAGTGGAGACTGTGACTATTCCCCATCAGGCAGCGAAATCCGGCACCACAAACGGTGCGGCTGTTCCAGGACGAACCTGGTTCCGCCACGGGGACATCCCTCCATCCCCGAAGCGAGATTAGCTGTCGGAGCTGGTGGGCTGTCCAAAAGAGTATAAAGGTAAAGTCATACCGACGCCTTGTACCTATCTATCCACCAACATTCACTCTCCCTCATAGACTCTCTTTACACCTGCCCACCCTCTGTCATTCTTTATTCTTTCCTACCAGCAAAAATGGTTCGTCAGCTTGCATTGGCCTGCGGACTGCTGGCAGCAGTGGCCGTCCAGGCAGCCCCCGCGGTACCGGCTCACCCGATGGTCACTGAAGCGCCGGACGCCAGCCTCCTCCACAAGCGAGCCACCACTTGCACCTTCTCAGGCTCTGAGGGAGCGTCCAAAGTGAGCAAGTCCAAGACGGCCTGCTCCACCATCTACCTGTCCGCCCTGGCTGTCCCCTCCGGTACCACCCTGGACTTGAAGGACCTAAACGACGGAACTCACGTAGGTATTGCCCGACGTAAAGTGCCAACGGTTGCGCTGATGGAGTCGATTAGGTCATCTTCGAAGGCGAGACCACCTTCGGGTACGAAGAATGGGAGGGCCCGCTCGTCTCCGTATCCGGAACCGATATCACGGTCGAGGGCGCAAGTGGTGCCGTCTTGAACGGCGATGGCAGCCGCTGGTGGGATGGAGAGGGAGGTAACGGTGGCAAGACTAAGCCCAAATTCTTTGCGGCCCACGACTTGACTTCCTCGACGATCAAGAGCATCTATATCGAGAACTCCCCGGTGCAGGTCTTCAGTATCGATGGTGCGACCGATCTGACTTTGACGGACATCACCATTGACAACACCGATGGTGATACGGATGATCTTGCTGCCAACACCGATGGTTTCGACATTGGAGAGAGCACCGACATCACAATCACGGGAGCCAAGGTCTACAACCAGGATGACTGTGTTGCCATCAATTCTGGCGAGGTAAACTCGACCCCCTTTGCTGAAGAGACCCAATCCTAACCATCCTGTAGAACATCTACTTCAGTGCCAGTGTGTGCTCCGGTGGCCATGGGCTGTCCATTGGCTCTGTCGGCGGTCGGGATGATAACACCGTGAAGAACGTCACCTTCTACGATGTCAATGTTCTCAAGTCTCAGCAAGGTACTTTCCCTGGCATTCCAGACCACGGGCCTCGTGCTAATCAACCCTTCAGCTATCCGTATCAAGGCCATCTACGGAGACACTGGCTCCATTAGCGACATCACCTATCATGAGATAGCCTTCTCGGATGCCACCGACTACGGTATTGTCATCGAGCAGAACTACGATGATACCTCTAAGACCCCAACCACTGGCGTCCCCATCACGGATTTCACCCTCGAGAACGTGATTGGCACTTGTGCGGACGACGATTGCACCGAGGTTTACATTGCGTGCGGTAGTGGCGCCTGCTCGGACTGGAGCTGGTCCAGCGTGAGTGTCACGGGCGGCAAGGTCAGCTCCAAGTGCCTGAATGTCCCCTCCGGGATAAGCTGCGACTTGTAGGGGATTTGCCGCTGGAGTCGGCTGGACTTACCTAGGGAACTGTTCTATCTCGCTATGGCTGTGGACGTACCAGAACATGCCACCAAGCGTCTAGTCAACATATCTATCTTCTGCTAAATGAATACTAATTTCCAGCCTCTACCTACCTGTATAGTCCATAGTCCACCATCGTAGCATCCCACCCTCACTTATGACGATCGCGGTGATTCTGACAGAGACTCTGCTGGGAATGACGGAGCGGCTTGAAGTTAACGGCGTAGCCATCCTGCGACTGGTGACTAGGGAGATAAAAGCCACCAGCGCGTCACTCTGGGTGCGTAAAGGGTCGTTTTCCATCTCTGTTGGCCACGGCCAGGAGAATCTGGAATGTGTCGCATGAGTACATTAGATGAGAATATGCATGTGTAGAATTGTTAGAACTGATGGTCCTAAATGCTTGTTCTTCGTTTTAGATGTCGGTACTACTCTCATAGTGCCAGTCCGCCGAAGCATAATTAGGTGCAAGCTATAGTGTCGCCGCCCCTTCGTTTAATCGTTCTGCAGCCAAATTAAATCCGCGTCGCTCAGCACAGGGGTTACGGCTCTTGAACATGAACACATAAACAAATCACGGACGAAACTAGAGATTCCGAGAGGGGGCGGGGTGCTTTTGAGAAATGCCGTGGCGATAGTGCAGGGTTACTCTCATGGACGGCGGATAGAGCAATCTGGAAAAGTGATGCATGCAAAACCAGATAGACACTGAAGATACACCGCGTCGGGTGTTCCTTGGCATATACAGTTCTTCGTTCTCCGACTCCCGCGTCGCTTTCAAGGCTCACCTACATGCATATTATGTTTGTCTCTATAGGCCTGGACCGTTCCTAGCAAGCCTCACAGTCCCTGTGCTTGAAGGAATTTGAATATTAACTGGAAGGCCTGGGGTGCGACCGTGTGAAGGTTGAGATTGTGTCTGGGGAGGGTTAGGGTTAGTACGAGACAACCATATCTCAAGACTGTGCAAGAGACTCACCCGGCAGGAAGATCATCCACCCAGCTTACCACATGCGAATTGTTGAATGTGGCCGGGCTATTCTCTAACTGTCCCTTACAATTGCCGCCACAAGAAGACAGATCAAACTGGCCCTGAACGAGGTAGACCGGGGCAGTGATGCGGGAGTATTGGATCGGGGAGGCCAGCAGTGAAGGGAGCTCCCCCACCGCGAAGGGCTCTCCCTCCACCGTCGCTGCCCACTGCGCCACCTGCGGGTCGAAGTGCGGAGCAGCAAAACCGTAGTAGGCCACGGCATATTGGTCACCGGCCGTCAAGTAGGCCGAATCCAGCGTGCCCCACCGAGAGGGCGACAAGGTACGCGCCTGGCGCAGATGCGACCCGGCCAAGAAATACCCAAAATAGTCGAAGGCGCTGCTGAAGCCGGTCAGCACGAGGGCGTCCACGGCGACTGAGGCGGCCGATGCGGCTGCCAGATAGCTTCCGTAGCTGTGCCCGACAAGCCCGACCTTGCTGACGTGCGGCAGTCGGCGAGCATAGTCCACCAGACTGTTCAGGACTGCTGTCTCCACTTGGAACTGAGCATCAAACAGACCGTCAACCCGGGATGACGAACCGACGCCGATGCGATCGTAGTTCAGCACCGAATACCCGGCGGCGACTGCGGCCTTGACGAAGTTGTATGGGTCAGATCCGGGGAAAGTAGGGTCCCAGTACCTGCACAGACATTTGTTACTGCACTTCACCCCTTTTCATTGGGTATGATACGTACGCTTTGGACTCGATGATACCATGAGTGAGAACCAGGATCGTTGCGCCGGTGCCGCAGAGCGTGCCTCCAATGGTATAATTGCTTTGCACGGGGCTGGCTGTAGACCCAGAGATCGGAATAGGGTCGGCGGATGAGCCAGAGTCGCGTCGGGTCAGATTAAAGACCAATGATGCTGCATCCCAATCATTGCTGATTGTGGTGTTAATAATGAACCGCGGTTCCTGCACAGTGATGGGGATATCGACCGCGCGACACGCTGGCGTTCCTTGCGATGGGAGCGCCCAGCAGCCGGCGGCGAGGAGAAACAAAGACAAGAGAGAGGCGGTGGCCATAGCTGCAGCGACAAGTAACCAGCGGAGGAGGCCTGTGAATAAGGTAGTTTCGCTTCTTTATGTCAACTTCTTCGCCCCCATTTATAGGGTTGGCGCAGGCCACTAGCCGGTGACGAGGGAAGACCGAAGGCAGCAAAGATGAGGTTCGAAAGGTCAGGGAACTTTCCGATATGAATACGACCTCGCCAATCGCCGTGCTGATCCTTCTTGGGATTCCACCCCCGGTGATTGGGTGTTTGGGGTGCCAAGAACCCCGAATCCGCTGACACGAGGCGCGAAACAAGCACCAATGCACCCTGACACGAACAGACCCCTCCCCCTGGCACTCTCAATGTCTCAGTCCCGGTTGCTTTGCTGCCAGAATGTCGACTGTAGATCATCCACCTTCGTATAGTGCGGCGGGAGATAACCGAAGGAGCCAGTCTGGTTGACGGACAGTACCGAGTTGTGACTACCCACTAGTCTCGGATCCACAATCTGGCAGACAACGTGCGCTTCCGAGATTGCCTCAACCACTGTCAGCTCGACATCAGCCCCAGGTACCTGCCGGTACATCCTTCACTCTGGTGATGGCGTCTTCCATCTATGTAAGAAAATGCCGCCGACCCCTGTGGCCTCTCAATATCTCTGGTGAGTAGTCTTGATCAGAAGGCACAAGTCGGTGGCATCCCCCGGCATATCCCCGTCTATGTATCACATTAAGAACTTCGCAAAGCTAAAGCAGATTCCGGTTCTGGTCGAAACTACTATGCTTCTGCTGGCCACCGAGTCCCACACACTCCGACTGGAATAATGTTGGTAAACTAGGGTTGACAGACAGAAGAACGACGTGGTGATATATACTCCGTAGGAATATCCGATACGGGTGATGACGGGCTCACTGTGCTGCAAGGGGTCCACAACCGACACGTGGAGAATAAGTCGCTGCAAACAGTTCAGAAATACCTTTTCATGCTGTCAAGCAAAGCCGGACTCACCAGCGACCCACCACATCACCACAAACCTTTACTGTTCCCGTGTAACCTGCGAAGTCAGCACCATGGATTGTCGAACTTGGCTGGTGCTTGGTCGATCAGCATTTGAGAGGAGTGGGTTTAACGCACAAGGTCTGTACAGCCAAGCCCAAAGTCTGGATAGGCCTTCAACAGGATGGGTCGTATTTGTCAAATCTACGCCAAGAATGAAATAAGGTGGAAACATGGATCTTCCCCGGCCTGGCCCTGGTTAAGTGACTATCCGTAACCGGCTTTCTCGCCATCCGGTCATTGATTAGGCCGCGTCACCGGCCATGAACCAGCGAGAACGTATTCGTTCCGAACAGGCGTAAATGTGATCTGCCCTTCCACAACGAAGGCAAAGATACCTTTGATTCTCGGCACGCCCGGTTCACAGCGGCCCTTATTGAATGATAAACCCATCCCAGTTCTGCAGAGCCTTGCGACACAGATCCTCGTATAATGGCAGCCCACCCGGGAAAGCCAACATCTCCCGCTTCCTGCCCGGGATGTTTGCCCCAATCGCGTCGACAATCCACTGGGACTACATCTCAATTGAAGCCGGGCCGTTGCTCAGTGCTGTTGGGCCATGCACAGCATAACACAAGAACATATTGGGATACCCCTTGCGGGTCATGGTCAGGAATGCGCTGGCGCCGTTATTACCTCACTCGTCTGCGAGCGATGTACCGGAAGTGTTGCGAAGCGCAGCAATGCGGGTTAGGCTACCAGCGAAACAGTTGAGCCCCGTCGCAAAGGCACTTGCGTCGACAGGATAAAATCCACCGTCTTCGGTGACTATCCCCTTGGGCCTGATAGCCGAAATGCCGTGACTTGCGTCGCGCACGTTAACCAACTCCACATTTGTCCTATTGAACATCTCGTAATAGTCTTACTCGAAACACGACCTCTTGGCACCGATCGGGTGTGGCGGCTCGAGAGGGGCCAGGATATCTCTCCTTGAAGGGTCGGTTATTCTCGCTCGCGTCCTCTTCGCCCGAAAGTCATAAGCCTCTCGGTTCGCCTTTTCGTTCGTCAGCAGGTGACTATACCCTCTGGGCGGAAACGCGAAGCCCCCTCGGTTGTATAGCTACTCATAAAGCGCCTCGCGTTTCTCCGATGGGACGTCAAAGGTTGCCTGCGGACTCGGCTTATCCAGATACCCACTGAATGTCTTTTCTCGCTGCATGAAGATGAGTCGTGCGTCCTCCTCAGGCGCATTAAGCCCCGCGGTGGAGAAAGTGTGCTGCCTCATGGGGAGAGCCAGGTTCGGCGTCCGCTGAAATACCACCAGCGATTCTGCTTGCTTAGCCCAGGACTGTACAATCTGCACGCCTGACGCCCCTGTCCCAATTACGGCAACCTTCTTCCCCTTCACATCAATCCCAGCTTTTGGCCAAAATGCCGAATGGCACACCTCTACTTTGAACGTCTCAAGGCCCTGAAACTCGGGGACAAATGGTTCTGCGGCAAAGCCGACACACGAAACGAGGAATTGCAAGCGCGTGACTCGTCCGTCGCCAGTTTCAATCCTCCAATTTCTCTTCCCTTCCGCACTGACATCGTACCAGGCCCCAGTCACAGTCTCTCGAAATCCACGTCCTGCTTGATCCCAAGCACCTACTCTACATGCAAGAAGTACGCCCTTAACTCGTCTGCAGAGAGATACTTCTCGGTGAATGCCCGTGTCTCCGAGACCTCCGGGATAGATAGTTGGTAGATGAAGCCCGGTGTATCGACCCGGCAACCTGGGTGAGTATTCCAGTGCCACACGCCGCCGAGGTCGGTGCCCGACTCGTCTATCCGACAGCTGCTCCCTAGCCTGCGGAGACTGTGAAGGAGGTTGGTGCCTGAAAAACCGGCGCCGATGATGACAATGCTCTAGCTAGGGTTCTTCGTGGGCATTTTCGGGCATACGTGATGAGCATAGCTGCGCGGCTACTAGGTGCGGAGATCTCAAATAATAATACTTCATACCGCTGCAAGCTGGCGGGGTGATTGGGGGTATACAAGGAAATTCTCAATGAAAGTACCGCACTGAGAAAGGAACTCCGGGATCATATCATACTTTGGAAGGATTGCTGCCCATGATACTGGCATAGCTTATTCGTCGGTTCGGTAGAGCTAAGGCACTGCGGGGCAATCCGTGCCTGTGTCCTGCTCGTCAAGGCTGACGGAGCATCATCGAAGACGGCGCTAACGATAGCTTCTGGATAAAAGCTATAGGACCCGGTAAGATTATGTTTCTCTGAGATTGGCTCTTGAGAACAAATCTGGCACGAACGAGATTATTGGAGAGGCAGAGGTCGGGTTACATTTCTTGGACATGGAGAGAAAGCCCTGAGGGAGTGACTGGGGCACAATGACCAGAGGCACAAGCAGCCCGTGAACACCGCCGAGTAATGGTGGTAAACACTGGCGACATCTAGTAGCATCTAATACAGTACTAGTATGGCTCTTTGATGACCGTATGTATTCAGGGTAAGATATGATCACGTTCGGCTTATGAGTTTGTGACGAAATTCTTTCTTCAACTGTCGGACCTGCACTCCGAATCAGACTGATACCCCTCTATATATAATTCAGCAATCAGGGGCCCCTTGAAAGTTCGTTTCGTCTACTATTCCACACACACACACTCTCTCTCTCTCTCTCTCTCTCTCTCTCTCCACACACACACTCCACACACACACTCCACAAACACACGTTTTGATGGTATTGACTCCTTCTTACCATAGCAAATGGCTTACACAGTCGGCAACCATAGCCTGGATCTGCAAAGTACCTTGACTCGGATCATGAGTTCGGGAGGATTCAGTGACCTTCGGTTTGTCTGCAATGGACAGAGCTTGAATGTCCACAAGGCGATTGTCTGTCTCCAGTCTCCGCCGATCAAAGCAGCTGTCGAGGGAAACTTCGAAGTACTTATTCTGCTACCGGGGGAGTGACAGCGATAGTAGGCTAACGAGCCGGACCTTGTCCAGGAATCCCAAACTGCTACCATCAACATGGACAACTTCCAGCCCAGCACGGTGACGGCGCTGGTTGAGTATTTCTACACCGGCGGGTATGGAAGCCTCTCAACGAGTGATAATGCCGTAGGCGTTTCGCAGACTCCTTCCGATCTTGAATCATCGTCTTCGAGCCCAGATACGGCCACACTTCTGCTTGACCATATTCGTGTTAACGCCATTGGTAATTATTATCAGGTCGATGGCCTTATGACCGCTGCAAATCAGAAGATCAAACACCTGCACGAGAGCTCCAAGGCTGACAAATCCTGGGTTGCAAGTCTTCCCGCCGCGATTCAGCTGGCCCTAAGCTGTACAGCAAATGAAGGCCTGCTTGACATCTTGGCTGAAGTGACTGCTAAAGAACTGGCTTCTATCATCCACCTAGAAGACTTCAATTCAATCAAGCCCATCTATGGGTTTGCCGGGAAAGTGCTGCATGGGTGCTGGGGAAGAATTCAGGGACTGTTGAATGAAAATGACCAGCTGAAGTCCGATTTATCCAGCAAGGATTTCGAGCGTCGGGCGGCAGAGCGTGAACATGAGAGAGTTCAGTCACATTATAGACGCATGGAGCAGTGCTTGACAGTCCTGAACAGCACATCGTTCTGCAGGAACACCAACTGTGGTGCGGAGTTCTGGTGCGCTATTGATGCCAAGGAGTGCATTGTCCGGTGCGGTAAGTGTCGGTGTAGGCACTACTCGTGATCGGTGGTTTGGCCTTGTGTACCTCAAAGATTCCACGCGGCCAGAAGGAATGATATCAGCCTAGAGAAATTATGATGCGTGGTACGGTGGGCTACTCCGTGGTTTTCTTTTTTCTTCTGTGGTTTGTTGATCGTAGCCGTGGAGGCTCAAATACCGTTCACCATATTAGTCTGCACCCAGCTACTCTTGATAGTTGTCTGCAGACTGTGTTCGCAGGTTCTTATAGGGACGTCGCCCTTGAGGCTTGCTATTTACCTACATTATTGGAAGCTATTTCTCGGGGATAGATAGACGCAAGACACTACTGCTAGCTTTTACCGTCCATCTGGACCTGCGTGAGTGACCCGCACGAAATTCAAGGCAGATCTGGAAGCTAGGTACTCTGGGCTTGTATGAGGGATGCCGGACGGTTCATGGGAGATTAGGAAAGAGAGTTGTTGGTACCTCAGTGATTGACCTCTGCAGTTGGTTGTTGGTTTTCAAGGTTGCCAAGGGTTTTAGTACAGCTCAACGAATTATCAGGTGTCCAATGAGTACGGAATACTCGGTGTTGGATTTGGCACGGGGGTTGGCGGGAGTGCGAAAGCCATTGCGGGCGATTTGACTGCATAGTCCAAGATGGGCTAGCTTTTATTGAGCACTACGTACCTCCATGGCTGACTAGAGTGATTATAGTCGAAGACAATCACAAATATGATATTGCGGAGACACAGATGGAAGAGTGGAGGAGAGAATGGCGAGAGTGACGAACACTGTTTTGGTTGTTGTGGTGGTGCTGGTGGTGTTTGTCTTTTGTTCTGCGCGGCTCGGTCGGGGACAGACAAACACTGCAAACCACGGCTCCAAGTAACGTCGTACGTCCCACGTGACTCGCTCCCTGTTGACTAATGGTGTTCTCTCATCAACAACAACTGCGCTCTGGTTTGCTACTGTGGTGAATGGAGACTCTAGGCCCACGATTGGAATTCGGCAGAATACCGTGGTACTCTCTCGACGTCTGACTATTCCTTCTTCTTCTCATAAGTGGACTATGTAAGGCTCCTAAAGGGGTTACCTTTAGTTTCAACCCAAGGTCTAGGTGCGGCTATATATTCCGGAGCAATAGCAAGGACGCTATCGTTTCGTCACCCGATAGATCGTCCCACCCCTACTGGGTCAACACTGCCGTTGGTCGGGCTACAAGTACGGAAAGGGCCAGCCATAAATACCTGCTGTGAGCTCAATCCCGGACTCGATCTCCCGTGCCTTGGCTTTCAGCTCGTCCACATCCCAGTTGGCCCAGGCTTGTCGACCCCGGAGGAAAGAGGCCTCTGAACTAGCAAGCCAAACAGTAAATTCGGCTGGCAAATTCACTGAAGATGCGTTAGCCCCGAATGATGACTTGGAGCACATACAACGTACCAGTGTTCATTGGCAACTGATCTGCCTGGCCGCCGCTCTTGTGGAAGATCTCGGTCTCTACCATACCAGGATGAAGAGTGGCCACAAACAGCGATGGGTTCTCCGCCGCCAGGTACTCCATCATCTTGATCAAGGCCAGCTTGGAGCTGAGATAGGCCGATAGTCCCGGGACCATGGTGGGCGGCAACACAGTGGCAGCAGCGACGGCAATGATGGCAGCGCCTGGACTAGCCCTGGGGAGAAAGCACTTAGCCGGCACCATCGTTCCTTTGACATTGGTCTGCAAACGACGTCAGAAATATTTCTCACTTGACAAGATAAACCTACTCTCGATGACCAGCAAGGTCTATCCCGAGCTCCGCACCGCGACTGCCAACTTGACCTTTTCGAACGATCCCCAATTCTCACCGCGGTTTTGGGAAGTGGTACAGATCTTCGTGGCGGGAATTCAACCGCTGACCGACATTGGCGGCGTCGCCATCTGGGAACTAACCAACGGGACATTCGTAGTATCCCCCGTTACAGTCCCTGGTGGCACACAGGCACTCTTGCAGACCTGGCTACAGCCTACCTTGGACCTACTGGTTCGGCATCAGATGAGCTTCAACTATACCATCCATGAATACACCACCTTCTACGACAGTTACAGGGAAATGAACCGGCCTAGCAACGTAACCGAGTACCAGATCGGCGGGCGCTTGATTCCACGGTCGACGGTAGACAGGAATCTCAGCAAGCTGTTTCATGCTCTGCAGACTATCACCGAACATGGAGCTGTCGTGTCTGGGGTGTCGTTGAATGTCTCCCGCACCCCCGTCCCGGATAACGCGGTTAATCCGGCCTGGCGCGACACAGCTATCTCCATTGTCATTGCCATGTAAGTCCTTGGTTCACTGCAAGACCATAATCGGGTTGAGGCACATCTGACTCAACACACAGGCCTTTTGACTACCACAAACGCACTGCGAACCGGATCAGCCAAGGATTAATCACCAACACCCTCCTCCCCTTGCTTGAGGAGCTGACCCCAGGAAGTGGCGCCTATCTCAACGAGGCTGACATCAACCAGCCCAATTGGCAATCCACATTTTATGGAAGCAACTACGTAAAACTGGCCGCTATCAAGCTCAAGTACGACCCCGATCATTTTTTCTACGCTCGCACGGCAGTTGGGAGTGAGTACTGGGTCGAATCGGCGGATGGGCGGTTGTGTCATGCGGTGTGATCATGGGGTTGAAGTAGCGATAAGTATTTGATACTTGTAAGAAAGGCCATATCCTCACTTTCTCTCGCGGTTACCTCCTCTTCGATGGTTATTAAGCCCCTATCCTTAACTACATGGACGTCTATAGATCTGCTATCCGCATAATCGACTGCTTAGTAATGTTATGAAATTGTGTGCTACCAAGCATATCTTCTGAGTGAGTCAGCATGGAATAGTTACTAGGTAGTTAACTAAATTACATCAAGGACCAACCCAGTCCTGTACTGGCCAACGAATTCAGGTTCGGTGCAAATCCAGGGGCAAAAACGTGTTCCGATACTCTTTTCACGTGGGATTGTAGGATAAACAGAATAGAGATTTTTTATCTTTCCCGTGTCATATTATTCGTGATCGGATGCGCACAGTTACTTGTGCCATCTCAGTTGTGTTGTGCAATATATGATGCGCCCCGGCTTTCCCGCCCTCCGGATATCACGGCAAAACCGGAAGACTGTCCCCAAGGAACTCGCTACTACGTCTTTTTGTCAAGGTATCAGTCTAAGACCATTGGACACACGGTAGGCACCGAAGTTGCTTGAGAGGGATCTAGTCTGTTCCCGGAGAGCTGATCCTGCGACCGAAAGACCGACTGCGCTCGAACAGTTTCTGAGGAAGCCTATGACGTATTCTGTACGATACGAAGGATGGTGGTAGGGTCTGGGATTATGTCATTCTCGTGGAAAGCCTGCAATCTGGAAGCACGGAAGCCCTACAAGGAGGGCTGAGGGATTTTGGTCCACTCGGAAAACCGGGGTTTTCAGCCCTACAAGGCACAGGCTCCACTCCCCTGATCCACTCACCAGTCTGGATTGGAGATCAAACCAGGATTTCTGGCAAACTCGACTGGAAAGCTTGACCAAGCTGACGCATTGGCCTTAGCCGAACACCAGGCTTGTGCAATCTTGACCCAAGGCACACTTCAAAGACTCCTTTCAAATGGCTGTCACCAACATGATGCCATCAATCTGTCGTCAGTGTACGGCTCCTCAGCATATAAAGCAATTAATCTGTCGGTTCTGGAGTCGCTCAACAGACCATCAAATTCCACTCTCCATCTCATCCTCGAAACAAGTCTAAATGGTAACGATGTCCGATTACTCGCCCCACGTGGCCTCTCTCCTGCACAAGAAACCGCATTACCACTCCGAGCTGGGCTCCATCCAAGCCATCACTGCCGAAGATCTCCCCATCCTCAAGAATCTGTCCATCAAGCGTCTACGTCTGGCGCGCAATGCGATCCGCGAGCCCCACTGGCACGCCAATGCCAACGAACTGGCCTACTGCTTGCACGGCAAGGTTCTCATCTCCATCCTCGACAGCGGTAACGAATTCTCCGTGTTCACCCTGAACCGGGGAGAGATGTTTTTCGTGGAATCTGGCTCTCTGCATCACATTGAGAACATCGGCGAAGGTGAAGCAGAGCTGATTATCTGTTTTCGCCACGAGCGGCCGACGGATTTCTCCCTCGCCGCCTCCCTGGGGGCGATGAGCGATACGGTCCTGGGCAACACCTACGACCACCACGCGTCTGACTGGAAGAACATCGCCAGGGATACGCAGACCAAGTATATGGTTCGCCGGCAGGGAGAGGTCGATCTGCCTCGCACTGCTCTCCTGCCCAACCGCCACAAGTTCGACGTCGAAGGCATGACGCCACCCACCTCCCATGATTTCGGCACCGCACGAACAGCCAAGAGTCAGTTTTGGCCCGCCCTGCCCAACATGTCCATGTATTCTCTGCGAGTGGAGGAGGACGGTATGCGGGAGCCGCACTGGCATCCGTCGACGGCCGAGATGGGGTACGTGGCTGAGGGTACAGGGCGCATGTCGGTCATGGACCCCGACGGGTCGGTCGATACTTATATACTGAAGCCCGGTGATGTGTACTACATCCCTGTGGCCTACCCGCATCAGATTGAGGCAGTGGGAGATGGTAAAATCCACTTCTTGATCTTCTTCGATCAGCCCATGCCGCAAGACGTGGGCTACCGGAATGCTGCCACCTTGTTGACGCCGGAGAGTATGGCTGCCACCCTCGGGGTAGATGTCAAGAACCTCCCCAAATTCCCTCACACCCCGAAAGATCCTCTGATTGTGAAGAAGCGCAACGAGGTGGATCCAGTGAAACCCAAGCTGTGAGGCCTTACCTTGGCTGTAGACTGGCTGGGTGGGAACAGCACCCCGAAGGAATGTTTCATTAGTGATATAGGTAAAGCATCTCACATTATGAGTATAGTGCATAGAGTCTACTCAAATAAGAAACACACCTTGCCATCTCCTTCAATGTCCTGGTACTCTCCCTTTCAATTGATCCACCACCCACTGTACTTCCTCAACCAAGATCTCCGGTCGCGTAATAGGCAGACTGTGGCCCTCCTCTAGGACCTTTCGAAAACGATTGCAGCCCGACAGCCTGAGTTGACCCGCCCGAAGCTCATCATTGAACAGCTGCGCCTGCTCGAAGAACCGTGTACATTCCTCCCTCTCGGCCCTCGTCCCATTTCCCATCCGCACTCCTGCCTCGAAGATCAATCGAAAATCCTTCGCGAAGTCCGCGCAAATGACACTAAGAGGTGCATTCCCAAGCACTTGCCGGGCAAATTGCTGTTCCCCGAGCAGCCGCTTAGCACTCAGCCTCGGGTTCTCTAGGGCACTGCCACGCGCGCTCTTCTTCAACTGAGCTTTTACATATGCCCGCTCTTGATCTGTCAGACGTGATCGTTCGATTTCATGCGTGACAGCCTCAATATCCACTCCGCGAGCGATGGCCGTGAATGCTGGCGGTGGAACGGACGGCTGGAACAGCTCGAACATCAGCTCGGTCGCAGATTCGGCCAGGACCATCCCCGCGACGGACGGCTGCATGGGGTCGAAGAGTCCAGCAAACGCTCTGGCACAGATGGCCCCATACGAATGACTCAAAAGGATATACGGGGGGGCCACGCCGATCACGTCAAGTAACTCCCTCAACTCCCTGGCCGCGGTCTGAGCCGTCAACATTGTCCCCCGATGAATCCCAGTACCACCTGGCCCGAGTTCGGAGTCGCCATAACCTGCTCGATCGTGAAAGTAGACCCGATGGCGGACGGATAGGAGACGTTGCAGGCGCAGGTAGAGGGCACTGGGGACGCCACCACCGGTAAAGAAGAGCACGACGGGGCTACCGGGATGACGCGGGGGGCCGCTGGTGGAGATAAATAGGCTGTGGGTCGATATGCGCACCAGGGCGGATCGAGTGCTTGTTTCCCACGGATTTTGGGACAGCGTTCGAATAACCATAATGAAGGGTTCAGGACGTTATATCGTTATATCAGTGTCGGATCGTCTCGGAAGAAACGAGGCACTGGCAAGGGGCTACGAGCGGGGAAATTGTGCATGCATTGCTGACTCAGACCCTTCATAGCCTGCATAGCCCATCTTACTAGGTCGTGCTATAGATCTAGAAAACCGGTAAATATACAAGCGTATCTGATACTATAATAGGACAAGTAACGGGAACAGCAAATAATAAAACCAATACATAGACCGAAGTATGGCACCTCCTACTGCACCAGACTTCACACCTCACCCCGAATTCCATACTCAGTCAGTGCACTTGGTGGCAGCGCTCACCCATCCAGTCAACCGGTTAGCAATATCAGAAGCGTAACAAGCCGTCGCCCCAGCTCCACTCAGATTACCAGAAGACGGGATAGACCAGGCACCCGAGTTGTACATTCTGGCCGCACGATAGAAGCCCGCGGCATTGGTCCGGGCAGACTTGTCGAGCAGCGAGGCGAGACCGTATCCATCAGCGTCGCTGGTTCCAATAGCTGGGGGGCATTAGCTGGGTGACCTAGAGAGACGTTCCCGATGGGAGAATCATACCTCCATCCTTGATCATCTGCACGATCTCCGTTTTAGGGCAGGGGTTCTTCACGCTGCCCCCGTTGTTGCAGGTCCCAGTGCCCTTGTAGCTTTGCATCAGGCCGGGGTTGCTGACACTGTACGTCGAGGTCGGGGCCCGCACGCAACCCTTGGACTCCTGCATCACCACCGCCAGGATGAAGCGGTGGTCAACTTTCGAGCTGGTCGCCACCTCCTGGATCGCATCGTACAACTCCTGGGTCTCAGTCGCGGAGTTGTCGGCCACTCCGAACTGGGCACAGGACTTGCCGATGGTGGCCTTGTTGGCACTCCACCTGTCAATACTGTGTTAGCTGGCAATCACGGGGACTTTACTGGCAATGAATTTGGGGATTGGCTTGCATGTTCTCGAATGAGACCCTAGAGGAACGGTTAGAACGGGCACCTGGACCGAGCATTGAGGACAAACTTACCAGTCAGACTGCGCGGGCCAGCCGGCGCTGGTCGAGCCGTCCCCGGTATACATGGTGTAGGAGTCCTTGCCAGCCCCTTTGCCATCCTTGTTATTGATGGAGGTTACTGCCAGCCCGCTAACAGTCACCGTCGCACTGGTAGACCGGGAGCTCAGACTATCGTCGCGCTCAGCGAGTTCGAGGTTGCGGTCGCCCACCGGAGCTGCAGAAGCAATTCCAGCCAGGGAACCGGCTCCCACAATCTGGTGAGAAAGATTAGTACGGGTATAGGAAGATGGCCGGGTTCTCTTTTCCCACACTAAGAATCTGTGTCCAACGCATTTTCGAATGTAGTGCTCAAGGAGATTGGACAGAAAGTAAATCACGAATTGAAGAAAAGAATGAGTGACTGTTCGAAATGCTGCTGCTGCAAAGGAGTGTGATGAAACTACTCGATAGCTTCAGAAATACTTGAGAAAGAATGGCTGAGTCGAAACCGGCTCGAGATTTTGGATCTGCTTGCTTGATGCCAGACCTACTCAGCGACTAGACATTCGACCCTTTTATACTGGGAAGTCCGGACAAAATTCATGATCACAAGTCAAAATGCCGAGACATCATTAGGAATGATGAAACATCATTGTTGGTTGGCAGGAACAACTAGACGGGCATTAGATCCCTTGGTGATATCTTAGAATAAGGGAGTGGAGAAATGATGGCCTTCAAAGACTCACGCTGGATGAATGTGATGTTACCAAAGGGTTCAGTGGGTCATGAGCACCCTTAATCTCCGTGAAGAAGATAATAGAGCAACTCTAGGTCGTCGGACAATATCTCCCGAAGGACTAAGCATCCGCGCTTATTTAGAAAACAGATGTAACAAGTTTACTAACTCCCAACAGGGTGATCAGGGCCCAATTGCCACAGTTTACCAGGACAGTTGTGTCAGGATGAGGCTGTGCAGCTAACAGCGACTTGTTACAGGTAACATGGAAAGTGGAATTCTGGAGTTGCGATGCGCGAGCTGAATATTTCAGATTGAAGGCACTCACAGAGTTCAGATTGGTGTAGGGAAGGGGTCCAGTTTGACCTAAGAGGCCCAACTTCGTGGACACGCGAATTGCCAGGTGCCGGTTGCTCACGATGATAACTCCCCCAAGTGGACGAATCGGCTCCTCAAAGAGGTGTTCGTGACTTGAAGTAGTAGGCTAGCGACGGGCAACAATGTAACATGGGCAAGCTAGTTTCTATTAGTTAGCAAGGTCTTCTTCGATATGGGGTCCTTTTCAGGATGATAGGTCGACTGGAGAGCCCTAACCGCTCCCGCAATGGCATACAGAGGCGCAGCGTGGGGGCCATCGCGCAAACCACTCCCGATGTCATCTCCAACATTCGGGCCCTCTTGGCGTAAGAGCTAGTCCCTGGCTAAGAACGGGCCGAATCAAGGGCTATGGTTGCATTTGTTGGTCCCAGCCAGTCAGCTCCACCGCTAGCCCCCAAGCTCAATATCAAGTTGTGCTCCCATGCGGAGTTTGAGGTTGGTGCTGACTTACCGGACCCTTGATGGGAGAAACGGCCCAGAATTTACCACCACACCTGAAGTTCCTGTTGCTCTTCTTTAATTCTCACTTTATTACTCATTTTTTTTTATTTGCGCCACCGAGACTTCGAGACCACAGAGTATTGTGGGAAGGGTACACATTCAGAGAAAAAAGGGTGGGGGAAGTCTGAAGAAGGTAGCACTCTGACCAGGGTTTGTTAGGTAAGTTTGGATCTTGGATCTTGGCATTGGAGCGCGGTTTGGAAGGAAAGGCCTTCTAATGGTGTCTGCTACGTCTGCAAGACTTGGACGATCAGGTCCAGAAAGAGACGCAGGCGTTTGTGGCTACTCGCAGGCTGCAGGTTTAGAAGCATCATCCACAATGACACTAGCTTGTCCGGGCCAGGAAACAATCTTGCCTGGTGAACTTCGCCGCATAAGAACCAAAGGGACGATGCCTTTCACCGCAGTCCTGATTTACAAGTTGAAAGACACTCACCGATAATATGCAAGCGTCAGGCTACCTCACACTCTACCCAAACGGCTGCCATCAAACCGGCCAGAAGTCCAATTCCAGACGTTTCCTATATCTCCTCGCAGGCGTTGTGTACCTATTGCCCTTCCTCTACATCGCTCGCCTCTTCCGACCGAGCCAATATGCGGGCTCGAACGGGCATACTCCACCAGACTATGGTATTAGTAGACCCTTCCATCGAGCTGTCACTGCGGCGAATGCTAACCTTAGTATCGCATGCAGCGTTGAGACAGCCTCTCTCCACTATCTACAGTCCACTATATTGGCGCACAGAATACAGCGCACCAGGAAAAGCGCATTCAGAAATTGATGATCTCTGGGACGCCATTCTCCCTTCCCATGGCTTTATTGCAGTTGACCGCCAATGGGCCGCCGCTCGGAATTGGCCGGACACTATGTCCATGCCTAACGACACCAGCAAGGGAGTCTATCTGCTCGAGGCTTACCTTCATTTGCACTGCCTCGTAAGTAACTCATATAAGGGAGCGCGGAACTGAGAGTAAAGAGCCTTGATTTCAGCGGATCATGCGAACCACCTTTTGGGAAGCCGTGGAGAAGCGACCCTTCAGCCACGCAAGCGGTCTGAGGCATGTTGAGCATTGCTTTGATGCCTTGCGACAGGTATGATACCATTGAAAAGCAAACATGAGACTTGCTGACCACAGTATCTACCAGGCCATCCAGTGCTACGCAGACAATACTCCGCTCTACACCTTTGGGAAATTCACGGCTGGTGATGGTCAGGTGCATCAATGCAGAAGTTGGAATGAACTTCGCGACTTTGACACCAGCCACACCGCTTGCTATCGAGATAGTGTCGAGCCGATTCCCCTGGGAGCTCATTTTGGTTTCTGTGACGACGGCGGTGACGGGTTGGAAGAAGGTGCAGATCCGATGTAACGAGATCCGTGATCCTCAAAAGCAAACAACCCTTGTCTGCGATAGCTTTCAGTCAAAAATATTTCACGTGAATAACGCATCGACGACCAAGAGAATGACGCACGTACGCTTGGATTCCGGTAGTCTTCATTACTGACAAAGATATCATACTGAAAGACTTCTTCCCAATAGAAGCCTGGAGTCTGCGTCTTTGTTCAGCCACTCCGTGGTAACCTGTTATATAAACGGACTTTAGTTTCAAGACCTTCGAAGTCCAAGGAGTCTTGGCATTTACTCGCAAGTCATCCACCATATTGGGTCTCGAAAGACCGAGATCGTGATATCTGATACTGTATTCGCGATGGCTGACGAGTCTCCCGAGCTTACCCCCGAGGTCTTTGAGGCCCGAGCAGACTTGTGTGTTCAGTTGACCCACCGGTTTATAGAGCTCAGCCGCGAGGTCTACAAACCGGATATCCGAGATTCGCCGATCACACACCGGTTGGGCCTAGTCGATTTCGATCTTCTCCGATTCCTGGGGCTATGTGTGTACGTTATGAGGCAATCTCGCAACATGGGTCACCGGCCCAGCCACCTCTTCCTCGCCCAGCTCGAGGTGGTGTCAGTGACCTGGGCCCGGTATAGTCGGATGTATGATGAGATGTGTGCTGGGCGACTACGGAACGTTGCAGACACCGACAGCTGGGTCGCCGAGTTCGGGCCCGAGATCCTGCCTGCGCTGGAGAGAGAGCGGCATCCGGGCTGTTTTTCCTCTCGACTGGTCACCCTGCAGGATGCCACTGTCCAGCGCATTGTCCGCGGAATCGTGCAGCAGTACCTCGGCGCGGAGGCAGCAGACCGGATGGGGATTGATAATCTCCCCACGGCGCCTCGCTCAAGCCAAGGAAGTGAAACGTGCCTGATCTGCCAGCAGCCGCTCGAGGAGACCCAAGGAGTGCCTCTCGAGTGGTGCAGAATCCAGTGTGGCTACGCCTTCCATTCCCAATGCGTGATAGAATGGTTCACGTCCCCGCATTCAGCGCACTCTGCGCCCAGATGTCCACACTGTCGCCAGCTGTGGCTGGCTCCCATGATAGGTCTCCTTGGAAGTGTCTGGCGAGAAGATCTGGCGCTGGCATTATTTATTCTCTCTCTATCAAGTATAGAATAGAGACACATTTTTCATGTGGGCGTTTCTTTGACCCACTTAATACAAACGTAATCGAAATTCAAATCGAACCTCCTTGAAACTAGTAAGAACATAAATACTCTTCTAAGCCCCGCCAGAAAGGACGCTTAGTACCTGTAACAAAGTAGACCATGCTCGGTGTCAATGAAAGGATCCACCCAAACATCTGATCCACGCCCTCCATGTGAAGTCGTTCATTGAGATGAGCAGAAAGTGACTCAGGGAGTGTCTGCTGCCACGCCCACCATAATCGGTCCAGCTGAGAGTGATGGAGGAAGAAGACGGGGTCCATCTGTCTGTACCTTGTCCATGTTACCAGTGTTTTCCGAAACGGGAAATGATTGACAGTTAAGACAAACAAAACAGCGGCAAGAAAAGACTAGTAGGGCAAACAGAATGAGGACAAAAAAAGCTACAGAGGCAGTGATCGTCCTCAAGTCATCGTACACCGTACGCGGGATACTCAGATGCAGTCCATCCTCCAGGGTCAGAACCAAGTCCGACTCGTCTTTGATCAGCAGCAACTGCTCGTTGGAGGAAGAACTTTTGATATTCCCCTGGTCTCTCAAGCCCTTGTCCTAGGCATAGTTACGCGACAGGCAGTGTGGGGAAATATATTGGTTGGCCAAAAGAACCTGGAGAGCAGCGAAGAAACTGGAGGGGACACACGATCCGTGGATGGTTTTGGGGTCATCGTTAGGATTCAAGCTCGGGCTGGAGCCCTACCTGAAGCCGTATGCCATCGCCGCCAAGCCCGCACTGCTGATCTCACACGTGATTGGCAGTTCCTTTCGCCAAAACCAGACTGCAGACCCAGTACACTGCATGGCCCGTGTAGCCATAAACATCGCGGAGTGTTTGCTCATTAATGGGTCAAACAGCGGTGCTGGGCTAGAAATTCGATGGTGTGGTGTTCTGGTCAGTCACTGGTCAGCCTGGATTGTCCTAGTGGGTATATCACACCAGGCAACAGTTGCCTACATGAGTTCACCGCGTGAATGTGTACCTAGGGAAAGTCATGGTAGAGAGTATGTCAATGTGCAGGTCGAGAGAGACGGTTGATCTTTCAGGCATTGCACAGCTTCGATGCACCCCAGCTGCTCATCCCTCGACAACGTTCGCCATTCTGGATGAACAGGGCACTCATTGTCAGGAGGCCTAGGAAAAAAGAGGTCTAGATAAAAGAGGTATAGACGGTGACCCAATCATTGAAACTCATTGACCGTGGTGTTGATGGGAGACTGACATGATTCTGAATATCATCCATTGTTCACAATGATTGACAGGTCGATTCTTTGTTGTCGCATTCTCTGTGAATTGTGGAATCTTAGGTAAAGCAAACATGAATTTCGGGATCAAACACCTTGTAAAACTGTCAGTCATAATGCCACTCAACCAACAGTATACCATAAAACCCTAGCCAGTGGATGTCTGGCAAAATATAGCTTTGGCCAGTGAAGTACCGCAGAAAGGACCAAGGCACGTTGGTGAGACAAATCAGCCGCCTTTGCTTGTCCTCGCTTGCAAAATGGATCATTTTCGTCTCTTGAATTGAATTCAGATTGATCATTCCTACCCATTCCTCTCTCGAGATTCCGCTTTACTGGTAATCGTTCAACCTCCATCCGGTCAAAATCGCACCGAACTCCTCCTCAACCTTCTTCAGTCTGGCGAATATTCCGTCATGTTCAGCATGAATCCTAGTCGAATTGTGGAGTTAGCAACACGCATTCAAGAACTGACGAAAGAGATCGACAGTCATCTACGGGAGAATAACCTCCAGGCCCCTAGTTTTGACGAAGACGGTCCCGTTTTGCTGGGCCTCTCGGGACACATGTTATCAGCCCGCGAAGAAGTCTTGTCGTCCACTCTTGAGCTTCACAACCTTTTCTTGGGGCCGTCAAATTGCCTTCGTCCGGTGGTGAGTCATCTAATAGACGGAAGTTACTCTCACCACTGATTTTCGTTTGCAGTTGAATGGAGTCAGCCTGCAGGCAATCTACAGATTCGACATCGCCCGCCACGTTCCCGTGAACGGAGAAATCTCTTTAAGAGAGCTCGCTGAGAAATGTGGATTCGACGAGGCCAACTTGCGTCGCACACTGCGATTTGCCATGGCATACCATCATGTCTTCCAAGAGCCCCGCAAGGGTTTTGTCGCTCATACCGCGGCCTCACGCATGCTGGTAGATGATCCCACCGCACGCGCTGGGCTCGGGTACATGTTTGAAGAAGTCTGGCAGGGATTTGCCCACGTATGCATGCCTTCTGCTTCACCTGGATCAGCCATGCTCTCATTCTTACCGGCCGTAGACACTTCTTGCGTTGGAACAATACCACAGCGATGATCCTGGGCGAACGGTCGGTTGATTGGTCTTCTGCCCCCGCCCTGCTCTTCAGTTACGCTAACTCATATGTAACTCAGGGTTGGGCTCACTATCTCAACACCGACATGCCTCCCTGGCAGTACTATTCATCTCACCCTGAAATGGCTCGACGATTTGCCTCTGCAATGTCCACATTTGCCAACGGCCACCATAATGCACCGTCCTTCCTGGTACAAGGGTACAATTGGGGTCAACTCGGGCAAGGGACAGTCGTAGATGTTGGCGGATCGAAGGGCAATGTCAGTAGTCTGGTAGCCCAAGACTACCCCGAGCTCCAGTTCATCGTCCAGGATCTGCCGAGTATGATCGACGGCGCAGCGGAGAGTCTGCCAAATGAGGTGCGGGATAGAGTGGCATTTCAGGCGCACGACTTCTTCACACCGCAACCCGTGCAGGCCGATGCGTATCTGTTCCGGAACATCTTCCACAACTGGTCGGACTCGCATGGCGTCCGGATTCTTCAGGCGCTGGTTCCTGTTTTGCGGCCCGGAGCTCGGATTATTGTGAACGACTACCTGCTCCCTGAGCCAGGGTTGCTGTCCCTGGTTAAGGAGCGTGCTGTCCGGTATGTACATACCTTCTGTTCCTAGACCTATGGGGACGGAATCGCTGATATGATTACCCAGGGACATGGACATGATCATGTTTACACTCTTCAACTCTAGGGGGCGAGAAGAGGCGGACTGGGTTGAGTTGTTCCGGAAGGCTGATTCTCGCTTTGCCAATTTACGTATTTGGACGCCGGAGGGAGCATTGATGGCTATTATTGAGGCCGTGTGGGAAGCATGAAGGACTACATAGGTGCAATAGTTTGTCTGATGTATTTACAGGAGTTCCATTGATTGTTGAAGTTCTCCCGTCGCCTTTCAGAGCCCAGCAATGACTCTGGATCAAGAGCACAGCGGGCGTTTAATAGCCGTCTCCGATCGCGGAAAAGTCGACTGTATCAGCGGTCTCGATGTCTCGTTTGGTGTCTATATTTCTCACGTTAGTAAAATCAGCATTCCAGTAGCTCTTGCTGTCAATTGCCCACCAAAGGGTGCATGTGCGGCGGCACGGATGAGTACCAGAGTAAGGATCACTGCGGACATGTAGTGGAAGGACCACATGGTGCTTTCGAATCACGGGAGGCAGGTCGAGAGGACAAAAGTTAGAGAATTACACTTGCGCTTTTGAACTTGGGTGAGGAGAAATTGATGTTGGAGTTTTGGGATCGACAACCCCAGGCGAGTGGGAATCGTCATAAATACCTAGCGCCTATCCGCATTGACACGAATCATTGACCTTGACCGGCAGTCACCCTTTTCGTCATGCTCGATGAAAAGTAACCATCAAACCACTCATCTGGCACAGTGCATATGCTGTGTCACAACGATGTAGATCAGCAGTCCCATTGTCAATTGTTGATTCTCAAGAACAGGCAAACAAACTGTAGCCCTTGCACTTGTCGCAGGCACAGCCCGTCGCCCCCATTTTGAAAACCCCCTCCGGTCATTTACTGTCCCTCATCTTCCAATTCTAAGCAGCCACGAAGAGAGTACTAATATGTGGCACTCGCAACTCCTCTCATAAATGAAATCTCATCCCCTCAGACGCGAGACGCACCTTCTTTTTCTTCTTTTTTTTTTCTTTTGGTAAGACAGGATGACTTACGTCAACGAGCACAGCGTGCTTGGAGTGGGCATTTTGTTCATAGTCAAGGGCACGGTGGCCATTACCACTCGCTTTTATATTCAATGCAGGAGTAAAAGACTGGGAGTCGACGATTGGCTTGCACTGGCAGCATGGGTACGCTATCTACTCCCTCGAAAATGGACTTAGGCCACCTAGGCCACCTCACTGATCCTACTTCGTCGTGTACGGCAGGTCCTCGTCACAGGAGAAGCCGTCATCATGATAATTGGTAGGCACCTGCTCCCTCCAAAACGTAACAATGAATGAAGCTGACGGTACGACATGTCTAGGCGCCGTAACGCACACGGTGGGCGCCCTCTCCCCTGTCGACATCGGCGCAGCCATCCTCTATTACGACGGATGGGACCGGATCTTGTTGGAAAGAGTAGTATTCACCTTTTCTTCAGCTTCAATCTCCCACTTACACGTCGCCTTCCCTTGCAGTTGGAATTTCCATTCGACATCATGCAGCCCCTTGCCCTAGCTTTGCTAAAGCTGTCTGTCCTATTCTTTTACCGGTGACTCTTTGTCGGACGAATCTTTGACATCGCCAGCTGGACACTGATTGGCGTTGTAATCGCCTGGGGGGTGACATTTGTGATTGCGCTGATGACAACGTGTGGAGCGATCATCACGGCCAATTTCGGCACCCTGAACGACCTCATGACCAGTTGTAGCCATAGCTTTGCCGTTCTGATTGCGCCGTCGGCATCGGACGTGGCCGTCGATGTCATCATCTTAACCATTCCACTGCCGCTGGTGAGCTTTTCTGCATGTATACTGGGTTAAGACCCCACCAAACAAGATGTTTCTGACCGCATCAGGTTCTGTCTCTCCACCTCAACTTGCACAAGGGCATTGGTATTATAGTGGTGCTGCTTGTAGGGTCAATGTGAGCGTCCCTCATCTCCTCATTCACTCTGTGCTAGTCAGCTAAACTACGATCCCAGGGCGACGGCGTGTGGCATCGCGCGCATGTCACTATTCGCCGAGATTCTCGGACCCACATGTATACTTTCCATCACCACTGTCTCCGTAGCGATGCTTTCTGGTTCCCATACTATTCAAATACTCGCAGTGCTCTCCACTCAAACCGTAGGCGGCGTATCCTCGACCGATGACATTGGTGAGTCTACTGCATACGCTTCACCTCAGCACTTATCCCTGCCTCAGACAACAGACGCAGCGCTGACCCAGAAGCCACAGGCATTGTCAGCATCCTCATGTTCGGGGGGATGCTCGAAACCGGGGTGGCGATCGTGGCGATCTGCCTCCCCATCCTGTACCGGATCGTGCGCGACGTCTCCCCCGGTGCTCAGCTGCACAACCTGGTCACGTTCCGACAGCTGCGAACGTCGAAGGACGACGATAGCTCGTCTCTAGAGGGTGCCAAGGTGGGTCCAGAGGCAGGTTCCACGCCTCGCAGATTCCGCGGAGTTAGTTCCCTCCTGAAGTGTGGTGGGTGGTGGGAAGAAAAGTCGCACAGAGAGGGCAATGGACCTGGAAAGAAAGCTAAGGGGATGGCAGGTGATAGCAACGCAGAGATGAAATTATCTTTGAGTTTTAAAAGAGAGCGAGGGACTGAGGAGCCGTAGCCTGGGAACGAGTCCACCGTCGCTCTCCCGAAGTTGATGCATCCCGTCGTCACGGCTGATGTGGTGCTCAATGCGCAGCAGCATTCACCGAGGAGCCAGATCTGGGAGATGAAAGAGATTCAACGTACGGTTGAGGTGGTCTGAGCCGAAGAACGGGGGCAAATCTACAATCTACCCTGTACTCCCTTACCCGAATCACACGACGTAAGCTTCCTGGGTCACAATTATATGAAATTATTCTACTAAAGAATGGATAGTTTTGTTTTTCCTCGCGGGTCAAGCTCCGCAAGATTAAAGAGATCTTGTTAAGGGCCAAGACTAGCCTCTACCGAAAGCTTCGTCCATCTGACTCCCCCTCGTGCACAAAGTACTCGCGCGTGACGGCAATTCCGGCACCATTTTCCAGCGACAACGGCAAGGCGCCATGATCCTTGACCAAGCCGTCTTCGGAATCATGCCGGGACAGATCGTCCGGGGTGTTGGCCGTCTGCGTCACCGAGACAGTGGTCCGCTGTTTGCTCGTGGGGCCGCCGGTGGTGTTGTACCCCGAGTTGGACAGCTCGTAGCCGCGCCGGCCGCTGTAAGTCCCGGTGCGCGAGTGGCTCCCAAAAACCAAGGTGCGGAGGACAGGAAGGCAGGAAGCGATGATGGCGATGGAGGCCTCGATCATGGAGACGGTGCATGTGATCATTTGTTCGTTGAGATGGGAGTAGATGGCTCGGATGACTGCATCGATCGTTAGACATGGCACTGTGCACTGCTTGTTGAGCTGATGGTACAACTTACTACTCGAGATAACGACCAAGACACCCAGCAAGAAGACGGAGATGACACCCCACTTTTGCTTCTTGGGCATCTTCAGGCGGGCGACCTGCGAGATGGGGAGACAGATGACTGTTCATGGGGTTAGAATCGAAGGGGTGGTCCGTAGTTAAATTGTGGTGTCTTACTGAAGACATCAGTGAAGATGTTGACTGCGACATGGTTAGCATTCCAGCAATTGCAAATCGGACACGGGGCTGCATACAAAGAATCGTTAACCAGTAGTTGATCGTCGATGGCTTGTCTGGGCACGCCACTGCATTCCAGTCCCATTAGTACTGCTGCTATTTATGACATCTCCACCGCATTCGCATCCACTTACATTCCGCATCAACCACGCTCCGCCATTGTCGGGAAGGAGGATAGCACTTGAAGACGATATCGAAGAACAGGACCAACCAGGTCGCCGCCAGAACGGCCAGAGTGATGTTGTACACGGTCTGGTACCGGGTGCGATCGGCGAGACGCTTGTAGAAGATTACCAGGCTGGCCTTGATGAGCCAGAGCGTGGTCACATAGAGGGTGGATCCGGGGATGATCATCTGTCACAGAGCGATCGATAGTGGCCGCAGTTAGTCTCAGCGTAGTGGGTGTGTAGAGGATTCGCGCGGGCTGCAGGCCTCGGATCGGGGCAGGGCACAGAGAAAGAGGGGCTCCGGGTTCGGGCGTTGTCCGATTGCTGTCTGTAAACTGACCTTCATCATGTTGATCATCTGATCTGAGTCCATGTTGGCCGCATCCGACATGCCTAGAGGACGTCCACCGTTAGATCTCTCTCGCACGGATCACTCTGCATGCAGGTGGATTTGGACAGCGGGGGAAGCAGCGATAGACAGTACATACCCAGGTTAAACATATAATGCTGGATGACCAGATCTCCGATCAGGCAGAGCGCCGCAGCCGTGACGAACAAGTCGTCGAGATACAGCCGTTTCAGCAACCGCCATCGCACCCAGAGTCGACAGACGAGAAAGATGCACGCGATGATGGTGACAATGTACCACGACACCTACCCACCGCAAAGTAGTACGTTAGCAAGAGAATACCGCTCCGAACAATCTCTGATGACGACGACCTACCACTTGGCCGGTATCTGGACGACCCATGGCGACGAACAACCCACGATGCGGGCAGAAGGTCACGACAACAAAAACAGACAGAGACAAGAGGGCATCTCTGCAGCAGCTGCAGCTGCTGGCAGTCAATATTAATAAACCGGGATCGACCCGCGCAGCCTGCCAGGGAGCGTTACGTGGTGAAGACTTTGGGAAAACCTTATCCCATGCTGGGTAGCTCGTTCTGGCGGTTTGTTTGGAGGAACCAGCAAATCCGCGAGTTTGGATCGGGGAAAGGCCGCAGGGACCTCCCTCTGGAATCCGGATCTGGATTCAATGGTGTGCGGTTGTGTGTGCCTGTCTGTGTGGTCTTTTCGTGGTGTGGCCACTGCTTAGGGGGGGGGGATGATGGGGTGGTGTGGTGGGCAGACCAGCACTGGAGGGGAGTATGGCCCGAGGCATTGGGACCCTCGTGGACCATACCATCTCGATAACCCTGCGTGACGGGGAATTGGGGATCGGGGTAGCAGAAGGAAATCGATAGTCTCTCCGAATGTTGGTGGAAATGGCCGTGATTGCTCCAGGCAAAACTTCGGCGGCCCACAGTTAGGGTTGCGGATCCACCCAAGTGAAACATTCTTCGGACATCGTCCGTCTCCCCTACAAAACACCTTTCTGCACGCTGCACGACATGGTACGCCATGTGCGAACTATTGATTTCTAGAATCCACTAACCAGTTCACACCGTTACACTGGGATCAACCGGATGCAGCCAGCTGTGCGTTGGAAAGATCACAGGTCGGGATGGAAGGGTAAGCTTTGTACGGATCAAACTCTATCGGCGATTTGGACGCATTCGGATTATGGAGTGACGATGATTCACGTAAATTAAAAATTGCTACACAGGCTTAATCATGCAATGAGCCCGCTGACAAATCCCACAATAGGAAGCGAAAGTCTAATAACAAGAAAAAGAAATTAATTAATAAAATCTGAAGCCGAATGGAATGTGGAGGTTCGCTATGCTGCGCTGAACAGACTTCCCCCCCCCCCCTATTTTCGATTCCTCTCCTCTCCTGCGCGCCTCCCCACTTAAGAGCTGGCCGCAGCCAACTCCACGGGATTCTGGACAACCGGGTAGTTGGGGTAGTTTGGCTTGTAGACCTTTTGGCAGCGCTGGTTGTAGGTGCCAGTCTCTCCGGTCTCGATGGCCTCCTCGTTACCCGGCACACCCAAAAGGGCCAGAGGTCCGTTCACCGGCGTGGCTTGATCCCAACCGGGGCCAGCGCTGGGGTCCTTGATCCAGGCAACAAACCAGTCGTTCATGTAGTCGGCCAGGTCCTGCTCAGCAGCCGTGACTCCGGTCAGCTTGGCGAAGCACTCGTTGCCACCGTGGAAGAAGGGGACCTCGCTGCCGTGGGAGGGGCCGATGTCGGGGATACCCAGGACGTTGGAGTAGTTGCCGAACCAGCGGTAGATCCAGGTGTTCTGCTCCTCCGAGCGCATGTCCAGGAAGTAATCGGTCGCGCAGTGGAAGCGGGCATCGCCATACGAGGCACCGCTCATCCGGGAGATGGAGGAATAGTCATCGGGGTTGTAGGCCTCCAGCAGCTCATCGGCGGGCACAAACGCCAAGTCGGCATCGTAGGTGCGGATCCACGAGGAGAAGTTCGTGTCCTCCGACCCATAGACAATGCCGAAAAGCTTGCCCTCCTTGTCCGAGTTACCGACGATCAGCGGCAACGACTTGGGGTAGTGGCCGTTGGCGAAACGGTCCGAGTAGTTGGAAAAGCGGGTGAGGTTATCCACGACGGGGCCAAACCACGTGTTGGAGGTCGAGTTGAAGTAGCTGGTCTGGAAGGCATAGGTATCCACCTTGCGCAGGCAGTCCAGAGTGTAGTCGTCGGCAGTGCAGTCCAGGGAGACACCCGCATCGATCATGTCCTGGACGACCTGCTTGAGGGCGACACCCACGGGCGCATTGGCCGGGCCAGACTGAGCGTTGGCCGACATCTCAATGGCACCCGCCAGGAAGGTGTCGGGGTGGTTCCAAAGGTAGTCATCGACGTGGACACCACCGGAGGAGTGACCTCCCAACACAATGCGCGACTTGTCACCACCGAAGGCTGTTCAACGCAAAGTCAGTGGGGACGGTTACCACGTGGCAGAGAGGGGGAACTGAGGGATGTTAAGCATTAGGAAAAAAAGTCAAAGTACGGACCTTCGATGTTGTCATAAATCCACTGCAGGGCGAGCTCCACATCCAGGATGCTAAAGTTCTGCGACTCGCCTTCAAGCTCGGGAGCATAGGGAGAGGCATACATGCTCTCACGGTAGTTGAAGTTGACGTAGATGACATCCTTGCGGGCAAAGTTCCATCCCTGCCATTGCTGGTTGCTGCTACCACCCGTGACCATAGCACCACCGTAGATGTAGACAAAGACGGGCAGGCCAGTGCCACTGGGGGGGGTCCAGATGTTCAGGTTGAGGCAATCCTCACTCTGGGCAACGATCGTCGTGCCGGACATGGCCTGGGCGCACGAGGGACCAAAGGCCGAGGCATCGAAGCTACCCCCCTCATAGGCGGTGGCAGCCAGGGGCGCCTTCCACCGGTTCTCACCCGCGGTGGTCTGGGCGAAGGGAATGCCCAGATAGACATTGGTGTCGTTCTGGGAGAAACCATAGACCACACCCTGCTCGGTGGTGACGCTGGGAGAGGCCTCGGCAGCACAACCCAGAGCCAAGGCGGTCGCACTCAGACTCAAGGCCAAATTGGCACTCTTTTGCAGAAGACCCATGATGACGATGGCAAAGATCAGTCAATTGATCTGCAAAGAATCTAAACTGTGCTTGGTCAGGAGGAAAAAGTGCTCAAGACCGGGCCCGTGGGAGGAGTATTTAAGGAGTTTGGGGGCCAGGGGGAGAATGCTTGCTCGCCAGCTCGCCAGCTCGCCAGACGGCACACCGGATCGACTGCCGAGCCAGCCCGAGGCTACCAAATTAGCTGGTGAAAGAACTTAGTCTCGTTTACACTTCTTCTCGATGAACGCTAAAGTACGACCCAGACCATGGTTACACCGTCTGTTCCTTCACCTGCGCTAAGACAAGACCAATGACTCCCCCTCGGGTGGGTTTTTCCACATGGCACCACACGTGGTGCAATGAGCTTGGCTTTCGACTATCGATTTTTCGAGTCAGTCCCCCCTCGGAAAACCAGGCAGGATGTACGCCTCTACGATATCACCTCGTGGTGGTGGCTGTTTTGCTGCATTCTGACTGCTGGGTTCGGAGTCTCTTCGCGAGAGGATCCTCTCTTGGAGCACGAAATGGTCGAAACGAGGCAGACACCGGGCAATCCGTTGGGATTCCTGACTAGTCGACGACTGATTTTACCTAATTGAATGTGCTATAGATGTGCTATCTGGATGGTATCTGAAGGATTGAGTGGTAGGATCTGCTGCTGATCGTCTATCTCGTCATATTCGGATGATCTGCCGAGATCTGGCTGCCCACGTGGGAGTTGAACGCTAGCCAAGACTGACTCACTAGCAGTAGACTATGTAACTTGCTTGGACAATGATGGTTCTCCTTGGTAAATTCTCCGACTAATACTATGAGCTGGACTGATTCTGAGTCGGATAGGGGCGTTTGGGGAGGGTAGGCAATTGCCCGGTCGACCGGACGAATATCCGGCTTCATCCACGGTCGCAGCCAGCTGCTAGCTGCTGCTGCATATCGGACGCCCTCACAAAGTCTCAAATGATCGATGTAGTTGCTTCCAGTTCAAATTATTGCAGAATTGGACATAATATCTCAGCGTCATTGATCTCCTTGGATAAAAGTAGAAGACAGTGTATTCTGTGCTTAAAATATATCTTGGTGAGCCATTCGGAATGTTCGGGTGGCAGATATATATTTCTATGAGGCCTTGCCCTAACCACCGGATGCGAGTGCACAGAATTTGAGAATCTGACACTATTTACCATTAAAAACAATACGCAGAATGCGATCCAAGAAATGACACAGCTGTCCTGAGCCATAAGATGTAGTCTACAATTGAGGATCACTATGAAGCATACGACATCGGGGGTGGGAATGTCAAGTCCTCCAGAACGTGCGAATTGCTATATATTGCTACACTCGAATACCATCTCAGCACGACAAACATGCCAAGAGCCAGGGGATTCGAACTTCGATCCCGGGCATTGACACGGTTTTCACCCTCGAAATGCGACCGAGTCGAAGTTGCATCATGCCCGGGCATTGAACCAGGGAACCAGCAGTTGGCCGCCCGAGGAGGAAATATCCACGGATGTCCACGGATGTACGGAGTAGTTAGTTATGCTATCATGGATGCAGCTTACGCAGCATAAGTGGGGAAATACCCCGAGACGAGACCTAGTCCAGTCCCTGATTTCCCTACAACCCAAAATCACATAACTAGGTAACTTACAGCATGACTTGGGATACAATTGATGGTCGCTAAACCTGCGTTCATCGCATCCCAAATACCATGTCGCATGCTCTTCTCACTCCCACAGAATCCACCCACGATGTCAAACTGTCATATTAATCTAAATAAATTAACAACCCGGGGCTCCAATCCACTGCCCGCCGCCACAACCAAGACAACTCCTTGGCGAACGCCTCCCACCTTGCAGCAGGCAAATTTACCCGCGTGATGATGGAAACCTTGGGTGAGACGTACGGGAGAGGCGGATGGCTGTGAGGCTAATCGGCCGGGTCCATCACCTTGTTCCGACGCGGTTTCAGGTGTTGAATTCTGTAACACTGGTCGTCGCAGACATCGCCCAAAAGCCACCTAGTTGATCATCACATCAGGGGTATAGGTGGTATAGATAGGTACTTCAACAAAGACAGAACTGAGGCAGGCTCACTCAAATTGAGACTGCCGATCGTGCTGCTCAGACGGTGCCATGACTGTATGTTCGCTTTGTTTTGTGGTCATGGAAGTTAGGGCACAATTCTTTCAGTACCATCTCATAGTAGAAGAACAAAGACATTCCTAAGCAAGGTGATGAAACATCTCGGCAAGTTACAAGGTCTCACATGTCGGTCCACGTAAAAGCTACAACTTGATGAACATCTTCGGTTACTTCATCTCTAGAACATGCCTCTATGGCATCCAACATGGGATCTTTAAATAGACCATAACCTGCGCATCCATCCAAGTCTGCTCGTTGAGAGCCATATTGGTCCCTCAACCCTGACACCGAAGAGGACCCCAAGTGCTTTTCCACCATAGATTCCACCGTACCAGCAATCATGGCCAGCATTGCAGACTCTGACTCGACGGCCGTCATGTCCGAGGGAGGCGCCATCGAGTGGGATCGCGTACGAGGGATCCGTGACACCACGCGGGCCCTCCTCGAAGCCGAGTCGCCGTATATTGCCATTCCCGCAGCCGCCCAAGTCCTCCAGATCGGACCACGCAGCCTGATCGTGCGGGTGAGATGGCAGTGGGCGCTCCGCGATCCCACTCGGGAGGAAGTCGGGGGGTTGGTCAGCACGCTGTGCGGACAATTCGCCCTGTTGCGGGCCCAGCGTCCCACGGCGGAGCCCTTCCATGGCTTCATCCAGATTGGGTCCGTCGTCGTCCTCTACACGGAGGTGCGGTTCATCCCTGCCCCGTGTCAGGGGGCGATGTGTATGCCCGGGGAAACGCTCTCGGGCCAGACCCGGAGCTATCATGTCGAGGAGGATAGCCCAATCCTGCAGCACTGGCTCAAAAATGAGGTAATGCGCGGCGCTCCAAGCCATCAGGAGTTGCTGGCTTGGGGAATCCCTGACTATGGACGGGTCTTTCGGAATGCGTAGGCTTTCTATACACGTCAAGTTATGTTAAATAAGATACGGAATCACCAGTGCAGGTGGTTTTATTCAAGTAATCTCACTATCGTCCATTCCTCCCAGTATGTGGTGAATGCAAGCGTCTCGACTCGCTCAGTTGCCAGTTCCAGGATGCAAATAACCGGCGGTCGGATCGGCATGATGCTCAAATATTCTCCACGTTATTCTGAGCCGTTATTGTTCGGAGAATCATAGGCCTAGCCGGAGTGATAATCAATCCAACAAAGATGTACGGCCTTCTGCATTGATCTCTGCTGGTACAAGTAACCTTTTCCCGTCAGCTATTGATCTCTCGTACAATAAGTTGCGAGCTTGGCGAGTTTGTAGGAGGCGCATGGTGATCAGGCTTGACAATCATTCCTCCGTTCCAAGATATGCTCATAGGCACCAAAGGCTGCACAAAATGCGGTGAGGGCGTCGCACCCTGCATGGGACAACAAACAAGGAACACCAAAGACACGTCAGGAACCTTAAATTTGGACTCGAGATACTTAGAAAGGAGATCTCCAAGATTCCCCTTTCTACCTCCTCTTGTCATGAACCGCAAACCTAGCCTCGCTATTGCTTGTATTCTCCCAGCATGACAATCACGGCGGACTCACTTTTCGATGAGGTAGGAGCGAGCTATGAAGCTGCCTTTGCAGACAATGCGCCGCTTTGTGCCTTCATCGATCAGGCCAGCAAGAAGTTAGCCCCCAACAGTCGGGTGCTGGATGTTGGATGCGGCACCGGCAAGCCCGTCGCGGAGATCCTGGCAACCGCAAGCCATCGAGTGCATGGAATCGACATCTCCCCAGGTATGGTCAAGATTGCCACGTCGCAAGTCCGGGGTCAGTTTGAAGTGGCCAACATGAACACCTTTCACCCTTGCCCGTCCTATGATGGTATCTTTGCGATTCTATCGCTGTTCCAGCTCACTCCAGGAGAGCTGTACTCGATGATCTTCAAATTTGCCGAGTGGCTCAGCTTGGGTGGCCGCTTAGCCCTCGCGGTGACGCCCAGCACCGGACTGTTGCCGGACAAATGCACCTACGATCCCATCTGGGATTGTGTGAGGATGCTCGGAAAGTACTGGATGAGAAACTACACCAACAAGGTCTTCCATTCGGAGGATGGATGGGCTCGCCTGCTGCAAGCGGCCGGTTTGGTACTCGAAATGGAGCCCGTTGACCACATCTTTTGCCCGACTGGCAACCGGGAATACACGCACCCTGAGGCTCAGCACTTCCTCCTCGCAAGGAAGGTTGAGCCGCAGCCTTTGCTGGGCCCGTATCCAGTTCCAATTGCTGAAATGCCTTCAGACTGTGTCGACCATCTTGATATTTTCACCGATCAGTGAGCGAAGACTTCAAAAGCCTCTCCAAGGAAGTCGCAGTGAATGGAAAGAAGGTGCTTATCCTCGGGCAAGACAGTTGGAGTCAGTATGCAGGCTGTGCGGAATTACAGTCCCTGCCAGACATCACCGATAACCTCCCATATGCATGCACCTGACTCGTTTGATGTCATCGTTGCGCCCTGGACACTCGATAAGCTTCCGAGCCTCAGACAGGCCATCGAGAAGACGACCCATGTGGCACGTCAGAAAAACTCACAACTTGTCATCCTCCAGGGAGCTCCTGGAAATGAGGCGGTGATGCACCTGAACGCGGCCGCGCGCTCACCTCGAATCCGCCACCAAGGCCAGATTCTGCAGAAAGCGGCGCAGCTGTTGACAACACAGGGGTTCGGGCACATCTCTCTAAAGCGTGTTCGTGCACATTATGCATTCCCCGAAGAGGACTTGCCAACCTGATGCTCGGTGGCTGCGGAATGTTTCGGCCGCGATCACACATCGACAGCATCCGAACTATGAGGTCGTCAAGCACATCCTGACTGCGCGGCTGAAGCTCCAGTTTCAGGGCAGCGCACACGCGGTGGGAATGGACATGGTTGGCTTGATTGCGAGGTCGAGCGATGCGGAGAATTGACCGCTCGAGTTGATGAACAGTAAAGTGAATATATACTCACATAATCATGTACCGAGCGATCTTCTCGTATCTTCGTTGAGCTCATGTTCAAAGTATGACTAAAGGCCTCCTCCTCGGGTACAACAAATTGGAATAAGATTATATGAGTACGGGGTATCATGCGCAGCCCCTGTTGGTGGCCCGTTAGGACAGACGCTTTGACCCAGTCGCTTACCCGTCTTTCCTGCAATTTTCGAGTGGAAGATTACCTAGAACGTGGCCATGAGACAGCAGAAGTGAGGAGCATGAAGAGGGGAAGTAGAAAGCAAGGGGTATAATACCAGGTTTATAGGGCTGTGATCGGGGGTGTTTCCCGAACCAGCCCTAGTTTCGGGGTCTTCACATTAACCCTGGCCTGCAATTGAATCAACAAGTGAGCTCCCCGCGGTTTCATCCCGTATCTCCACTAGATCAATACTCCTAATGCATGTCGAAGCTGGGTGATTGGGTGGTGCTGGTGTTAATCAATGAGCCTTATCGCGCAAAGATCACGCCAACATGTCGTGATGCACCAAGGCTTGGCCTGAGCTGCCACTGATAAATCTATAACTCCGCAACATCGTCATCTCCCAAAAGCACCTGGAGCACGGTCAAAATACCCAGACAGAAGCATGGCGGACCACGGTTCAACCTTGAGTGCTACAAAGCAGCCTGACCCCAAGATAAGTCAGGTTGTGGACTCCAGCTCGCCACCGCGCCGCACGTTCCGCTCCTTCATCTGGGACACGGACACGCACCTGAAAACCCCCGAGGAACGACGCTTGCTCCTCAAACTCGACGCAGCCATCCTCAGCATCGGATGCCTGGGTTTCTTCATGAAATACCTTGACCAGGGGAACCTAGCCAACGCCTACGTCTCGGGGATGCAGGAAGAACTCGGCATGTATGGCAACCAGTACACCTACGCCGGGACCCTGTACACGATCGCGTATGCCGTGATGCAGATCCCCAGTACACTCATCATCCAACGCGTGCGCCCGAGTATCTGGCTCGCTGGGATGGAAGTCGCTTGGGGCGCGTTCACCTTCGCTCAGGCAGGGGTCCGGACCGTCCCTCAGTTATATGTGTTCCGGTTCCTGATCGGCCTCTTCGAGAGTTCCTTCTTCCCGTCCCTGTTGTACCTGCTAGGCAGCTGGTATACCAAGACCGAGCTCGCGAAACGCGTGGCACTTTTCCACATGACCGCGCCCCTGGGCACCGCGTTCGGGGGGTACCTTCAGGCGGCCGTGTATGAGAACCTCAATGGGGCGAGGGGGATCGACGGCTGGCGCTGGTTGTACCTTGTCTGTGGGTGCATGACCGTTCCTGTGGGTCTGGCGACGTTTCTGTTCCTTCCTGACACACCGTATACCACGCGGGTGTGGTTTCTATCGGAGGAGGAGCGCGAGCTAGCCAAAGCGCGCGTCAGCAGGGCGGGCGTCGCGCCGCCGGTGAAGATTACCTGGAAGACGTTCACAGGCGTGTTGAACTCGTGGAAGTGGTATGCTTTTGTCATTGGTTATGTGGTGTGTACTCGGCTCTTGTTCTCGTTAGCAAATGAGATGGTGAATTTATGCTAACATGTCACAGCTGTACGGCTCCTCCTGCGGCGGCAACGGCTACTTCGCCATCTGGCTCAAGTCAGAGAACTTCTCTGTGGCTGATCGCAACCTCATTCCGACGGGGACTTCGTTGATCTCCGCCGCGTGTGTGGTGCTGTGGGGGTTTCTGTCTGATTATACCGGAAGCCGGTTTGCTTGGGTGCTTATCCCGCTGGTGAGTGGACTGCCTTGTCCATCTGGTGAGTTAGCCTGTGCACGGTGCTGATGAGAGCCGGATATGAACAACAGATATGGGGCCTCATCCCCAACTGTATCCTGGCCGTCTGGCCCCACAGTCTTGCACTGAAGGAATTTGCCTTCCTGACCATCGGGATGCAGCTCATGACCGCAGTGTTGTAAGTTGTCCGACAATGTTGCACCTTCCACTAGGATACTGACGGTCCAGCTACTCATGGGCCAACGAAGTATGCGCGGACAACAACGAGCAGCGCGCGGTGGTGATCAGCAGTATGAATGGCTTCCAGTACGCGGTCGCTGCCTGGTTGCCGATTGTCATCTTTCCGCAGACCATGGCCCCGTCGTTTCGTGAGTGTTTCTCGATCATCTCGGGATTTGTCCTAGATCTAATGGTGTTGTGTTGGCTAGGGTACGGCTTCCCGGCCACGTTTGGGTTGGTGATAGCGGCCATCATTAGTGTGGTGGTAATACAGCTGTTTGTTTGGCGGGATGAGCGGAGGGCGAAAGCACGTCTGGCGAGTCTGGGATCGGATGATGAAGGGGTTGTTGTGTGAGGTGTGGATACAGCAGGCAAGTGGTGTTGGTGACTACCGCCATATCGAAGTTGTCGGTGCTGTACAAATATCCTTGAATTCCGTAGGTGTTAGAATCTCCATGCAGGAATATGGATTCAAATGTTTGATTAGCGCACGGAAGATGCGGAAATACATCCCGGCAACATCACCGTTCTACCGTCATATGCCAACAGAATGAGACCAGGGCTGTGTAACAGGAATCTGCACCAGGGAAAGCTCCGGCCTGCTGTCTTCGATAGCCATAGCTGAATCCATATATACAGCAAATAGCCCCCAGCAGCACCACAGCGGCTAATTTTTGAGGTCCTTAAAATCGCCGCCCCGTCAGCAATTTCGATGACCTGAGCGACTTGCTGACATCATGGTCAAACTCACCGGACTCGACTGGGGTGCTACCACATTGGTGACGACCTATTCTTCTACTATGTATACATCGATTGACCTGTCTGTGCATGTTGCATGGGCCTTGCCTGTGATGCTGCCCCCCACCGATGCAGGGGCTTTAGGGATACGTCTGACGGGGGCCACGCACCCACTTGGGCTGCACTCGGTACTCCCTCCCTGGCGGTGGTGAATTTGTAATGCTTGGCACGATCTGCTGATTTTTGATTTTCTGTTTGGTTGTTTTGCTTTTCTCCTGAAGTATATTGCCAATGGCGAATGCTTTTCCTTGGGGAGGGTTCTTCCACAGCTAAGGGTTGGCAGACCATACGCGATAGACAGTCACACTGCAGGCAATCTTTGGGGAGAAAAAAGGGAAGTACATCTGCGATCTTCCTTCTGCCAGAGGCAAGAAGAAGACAATGTCAGAATAGAGAATAGCAAAAAGACATACAACAGAAGGGATTCGCTGGTGGTCACCCACCCAACTACTAACCTCCCGGCGTGTGGCTTAAGTACGGCTGAGCGGACGGGAAGCCCTGTTTTCCACACCCTGTGGTCGTATGTGCTTGCTTGCACCTATTGCAAAGCTATATACTGCAGCAACGCAGTGAATCAACTCCTTATCCACAATTGCCTGTTCACATTCACCCAGTCATCCAACCAGTCAAGGAAGATGGTGGGAGAGATTGATAACCGACGTAAAATGAACCTGACGGCGGCCCTGGGGCCTTGGTGCCTGAGGTGCCAGCTCACCACCCGCCCGGCTGCCTAGCTGCCTAGCTACCTAGTAGTTCTCCGATAGCCTCAAATAGAGGAATCAACAAGCCTTCTCCACCTCCCAGAGGCCTCATCAGAGCCCCCTACCTTCTCCGTCCTGCATCTTTGCTCCTCTTCAACTATTCTCGGCTGTCCGACCATAATTCCATCTCACCTGTTTGTTCATTCATTCCCCCCCACACTTGGGTAGAGAACGATCATCCTCGACACGGTCTCGTGATTCGTGTCCCTCTTCATCGCGCGTACAAAGTGCGGTTGATCCTGATCGTCCACGCGCTCCTTCGTCTTCTCCCACAAGAACCTGTCCACATCTATCCCTGGGACCTCTGAGCACTCGCGCAGGGCAGAAGGTGATCCCCTATGGCAGAAATGGCATCATGTTGGAGTGATTCCGACACGGAGGATGAGATGATGGGCCTGCGATCCAGTCTACTGAATGCTTTAGATGCCATTGAAACGCCCGCGGCTTTTGCATCCTCTGGAGAAATTGGCTTTGTCGATCCAGGGGTGTTTGTCCACGGTATGGGTCCAATCTACCTCCCCTTGGATGAATCACAAGCGCGACAAATGATCGAGCAGGCGCATCAGGCCCCCTATGGCAAGGGAAGCGAAACGATCATTGATACCTCCGTGCGCAACACCTGGGAATTGAACTCGGGTTAGTTCGAACTGCGAAGACCGAACTGGAACACCTTCCTCGAGCGAGTGGTTGCCGGTGTCGCGCGGGAGCTGGACCTTGACTCGACCGTTCATGCCGAGTTGTATAAGATGTTGATCTATGAGGAGGGAGCCATGTTCAAGCCGCACACCGAGTAAGTCACATGCTCGGCCAAATGTCCAATCAGCTATGTCTCTAACAAACAATCTACGGAGTGAAGTACAGAGAAGGCGCCTGGGATGGTTGCGACTCTGGTCATTGGTCTCCCTTCTGCTCACGAGGGAGGCGAGGTGGTCGTGAACCATCGCGGACAGCAGAAGACCTTCAAGTTGTCCAACACTCAATGCTCCCATGCAAGCTGGTATTCAGACGTCGTGCATGAAGTGCTTCCGGTCACCTCCGGGTATCGGTGGGTGCTCACCTACAATCTTGCCCTGGATGCTTCGCAACCGCGTCCCGCGGGAGGTCTCCAACCACCAGACACCTCGCATCTTTACAAGACCCTCAAGCTCTGGGTGGAGCAGGATGCAAGCCTCGGCCCTACAAGCCACTTCTGGTACCAGCTCGACCACGAATACACGGAAGCCAGCATTTCCCTCAGGGCCTTGAAGACGCGAGACCTGGCCTGCGTTCAGGCGCTATACGAAATCTCCACCATGCTGCCCGTGGATATCTTCCTCGCCGTTCTAGAAAAGATAGAGCACGGGACCTGTGATTATGATGAGGACGATCTCTGGCGGGACCCGTACAAGGTAATGTATTCAGAAGGCTTAAATCATTCCCTGGTGGATGTTACGAGCACCACGTATAAGGTCAAATCGCTGGTCGACCTTGATGGGAAAAAGGTGCTTCGGGGAAGGACGCTAGACGCCAAAAGTATTCTCCAGGCAGATTGTTTCGAAGATGTTTCCCCGGAAGAATCCTACCAAGGCTATTTCGGAAACGAGGTACGCCGACCGGGTTCCTCCCATCTCTTCACCACTGGCGTCGCTGATAGTATCTCGAATAGGGGCCGGATGTGACGCATTGGTACCGAGTGACGGTAAAACCTCCTCTCACCATATAGACACGACGTGCTGTGCTGATCTTTGCAATAGGCAGTGGCAGTGGTAGCTCGACGTTCGACCGCGTCGTTCCTTCCAGCTGGTCTGCCGAAGAAGTGATGGATGATGACGATAGTTCTATTCGCCTAAGCCTATTTTTGCATAGGAGCCCGCATTTCGAGTATGTAAGCTATGAAGATGTCTTATCGGCGTAAAACCATACTCTAATATTCTAACATGTTTCTTGTTTCAATCCATAAATTAAACTGAATTAAATTATTTTTGTACTTCTTCTGATCCAGGCTTTTTTATAGATCTGATTCGTAGTTTGTTTAGAATACATAAAGCAATTATTTTTAATCTAAAAGTCCGATACAGAAGTAATAGATATAGATCTATATTCAAAGCTAAATTAGACTAATTTAACTATATAGAATATATTATAAAATTTTGAGTAGACTTAATTTATTCTAGGTCTATCGAAATAAATATCTTTAAATAGAATATATAGCTGTAATATAATTTAAATCTAAAGCCTTTAAGATATAGTAGGAGTCCCAATTCTTACTGTCACCCGAAGCCTAGCCGACGACGTTCTACTACTACGCCATCTGCGTGGCCGCGGCATGTTGTACATGAAGAATGAGGATAACATCGAGTCAACTATCAAGTACTATGCTAAAGTTGTGTTAGTGCCGGATGCTGACCCGCTCTGGATCAAGACGCTCAAGGAGCTCGTGTTTGGGCTGTGGAGAAGGAGCGAAGAGAATCCAAGGCCGTCGTACCCCAGCGGTCGAATCTTCGCCGACGAGACAATGATCAAGATCCTCAAGGCCGCCTTCGGAACCGAGGATTCAGCGTTCTTCGAAGAAGCCGCCCGGTGTCACAAGGGCAAGCTGGCAATGGACTTCTTCGCTTGGGCTCAGAAGCAATTCGCGTGTGGTGGAAGTTCCTTCGCTAAAGTGCAAGACGGATATGACTTCGGTCTGCTTCGGGTCGGTCTCATCTGGCAACTATGGATTGCATTCTACGGTCCTCGCCTACCCATACTTCAAGCCGAGACATACAGCAGTAGCGCGCTTGGTTCTCCGGACTCAATTCATTTCCGACAAATTTCGGAACTGGGTGCACAGTGTTCATAGTCAAATACTAAGAAATAATGCCGCAGCTGGAGCTGAATCAGCAAGACGGTCATGCTGTAGTAGGTATAGCCAGAATTTATCACAACCTTTCCTACCTTTTAACGTGATACGTCTTATTATCTCGCTCCTTAGCTTGGTTCTGACTTGGCACAAGTATTGCCTACTCCCTTAGTCAAAAACACCGATAGGGTCCCATTCTTTACCCTCGGCTTCCTCTCCCAACTCGACCAGCAATTGGAAGTCGGCACGTTTCCCAAGGAAGAAGGATTCAAACCTTACAGAGAGATTGCCTGCGGGCTGCTCAGTCGAATGGACGTCTCCACCTTTAACGTTCATGAAAACTAGACCCATCTGATACGCTAGCGTACTATCAACGACTCCGAGATCTGCAAAATAACAAGGATGTGGAACTCGACCAAAAGACTGGCCCGGCCACACCAGAAGAGACACTGGCATTTGTCGAGTCACTGGTTCGTCACAGTCTCGACAATGATCTGATCCAGACCTTCTGGCAAAGGGTCGTCACCGGAGCCCCCAGCATAAGCTCATCCACATTCCACTACCTCCGGCTCCCCTTTATGCCTTCCTTCCTGCCATTCTGCCAACAGAGCCCTGCTCACCCATCCGTCGCAGGCTTCAGCCAGACGCTTGTGGCGATCCTCTACGCCTACACCAGCAACTACTTCGGCCTGAAGCCCAGCCGGCCACCAGCAATCTCGTCCGCCCCACGGTACAATCCTGTTGCGGCGACTGGTACGATATCAACAGCTTCCTCCGCGACCCCGTCAATCGAGTATGGGTACAGCCCATGAACAAAGAGCGTCGCGCGCATATCCATCAGAAGCTCGACCAGGCGCGCGTGGACTGCACTCACGAAACGGACCATTCTCGCTGGACCAACGCCAAGTTGGTGGTGACCAAGAACTTTGCCCAGGTGGGGGATTCCCAGCTCGCGTGGCAGCAGAGGAAACTCGAGGCCAGTAAGCAGATCCAGAGCTTTGATCAGGTGCGTCTCGCAATCCTGCTCCCAGATGACTACGAGAATATCGTGCGCATGCGCGCGCTGGATGTCCCGTCTGAGCAGCCTGTGGCATCGAGATCGGAGTCTACCCCTGCATCGATGAGCCAGCAATATCAGCCGGGCTTTTGCAATTTTCCACCCGCACCCAACGTGCCATTGCTAGCTGGGATGAAGAGGACAGCGGAGGAGGCGGACTTCGTAGATCTGACGTTGGATGATTGAGCACGTCGTCAATTGAGTGCATTTATAATTTCTTCGGCGGCTGGAATTCGTGGCGCGATCAGGGTCTTGCTGGCTGGAACCTCCGAGTGATTTACTTGGTTCGATTTACAGAGACACATAATCTGTGAAGGCTTGAGAGCGATTTGATCTGAAGGTGACTACAATGACCCGTCTGTTCTTCGGCAGACTTCTCGCTGGACATTGACGCTGGTCCCGGTACGCAAGCAGAGTAGCTCATGATTAGATTGATTTGAGTGAAATGTCAGAACAACTAGAATAACTGGAACTGGCTGGGGCTACTTTGTAGACAATCGAGATCCTTGATATTCACTCCCGTTGTGTGAATACTCTGATGAAGGATGTCATCATTCCGCAGTTCCACATCGCCGCGGGACTTACATTCACACATCTACAGTGACTGAAAGAAATCAGAATAGCGGAAATTTGATGAAGGGCTATATACATTCACACAGAGACCCGGAAGTAAAGTTCTTCCAGAGGATCTTCCGAACATAAGGCGAAAGAGCTTTGATATCACAACCTGGAACATGCCACACCTACACGTTCGTCCACAAAGCATCCACCATGAAGCATCTTACCCTTCTCCTCGTGGCGACCACAGCCTACGCTTTCTGCATCAGCGAGACCTTCCTATTCCCTCGCACTGCCGGTGATCAAGCCGCCATCAACCTCTTCAACTACACCGAGCTGGGAGGACCGTTCACGTGGCACCATATAAACAAGGCCAACGCTGCCTGCTCGCAAGGGAAGCATCAATCCCCGATCGACGTCCTCAGCGAGGAGGTTGACTACGTCGCATCCAGCAGCCTTGTACTCGATATCCCCGCCGCCGATGAAGCCAAGATTTCGAACCTGGGCTCAGGTCTAGAGGTAGCACTGGCGCAGGGCACTCTCAGTGTCAGCGAGGACTACCAGTACCAGCTGGCCCAGTTTCACTTCCACACACCGAGCGAGCATCGCGTGGACCAAGAGTACTTTCCGCTGGAGGTGCACTTCATCTTCAAGGACTATGGTAAGCTACAACCCAAACGAGTTCCTTCGAGCCAGGCCTCACATCACTAGAAACCAATATAGCAGTGGTAGCCTTCCTCTTCCAGCTCTCCTCGACCGGCGAAGCCGTTCACCCCTTCGATTCCATCTTCAACCATCTCGATGACGTCGACAGGCCCGGAACATACACGGAGACCGGATATCTCGACTTCAAATACTTGACCGCGCATCTCGAGACCCACGATATCTACCGATACATCGGCTCCCTCACGACGCCTCCGTGTACCGAGGGTGTGGCCTGGTACATCAGCGCTGAGCCGCTGCCGTTGGATGTAGTGAGCTTCAACAAGATCAAGCGGACTTTGAGGTTCAATGCTCGCTTTACTCAGAACGCCCTTGGTCGGGAGAATCTGCTGAAGGTGGCTGTTCACGCGGTGGATTAGAATTTCTGGAGGAATGCAGCTAGAACAAACGGCGAATTGTGGAGCATGGGAGATATTCTGGCGAGAATTGGGTTGTGCGCTTTGACTAGCCTATTGAAGATGTTGTAATCGTACACTCAGAAAACATCAGAAAACAAACAAATCACATACTGACCTGTGCTTCTAGGCTCTTGACATGGGCACTAGGATAGGAGGTGCAGTTCGGACTGTTATATCATCTCCGCAACGGGATCTCCATCACGTGGATGTTACGTTATGAGAGAATAGCTTCGGACCATCAGGAAGCATCTCTTGAATCACAGGAGTGTCGCCTGGAAGGGCATGATTCTTCAATTTGCCATTAGAACTACGATGCTCCAGACTGATCAAGCATGTGCAGTTGTCTCACCAGTGTGATAGAGGTGACACAGCCTTGAAAGCCCCGGGTGTATCATATGCCATTCAGGCATCGAAGAATAAGCCGGGCACAGTAGCATTGGGCGATCGCTCTGTCTCCAGATATCGGATGTCTGCACACGACGTACCATATATCACCTTTTAACCTACTACGCAACGTGCTACGCGTGAGAGTCAATACTCAAGCCCGCGGATTCTTTATAGTGGCCTATAGAGCTGACCTCCCGCATCGTCGTCATGCTTTCGCTCAGAGCCCACCTAACCATTCTACTGCTCGCCCTTGCAGGATATTACGGAGCGGAAACCAAACCACATAATCTGACAGAGGGGGTCTTTGGGGTCGATGCTAGCTTTGACTATGTGGTTGTTGGCGCCGGGACGTCCGGCTTCACGCTGGCAGCACGACTCGCGGAGCAGAAGCTGAGCGTGGCTCTCGTCGAAGCCGGCGACTTCTATGAGGCGGTTTGGCCTGTGGCGAAGATTCCAGGGGCAGTGATTGTCGGCCTGGGATCGAGTCCGACTGCAACCACTCCAATTGACTGGAATTTCATCACGGCCCCCGTCCCTGGCGCGAACTACCGCCAGGTACATTATGGCCGACACAAGACGTTTGGGGGTTGGTAAGAGGACACTCTTCGCCCGACTGTGTGTTTGAAAAGTATGTGGCCACGACACTGACTCCGTCTAGCTCAGTATGCAACGTGATGGTATACCAGAGGTTTCGAGCCACAGAGTGCCCATGCCATTGAGCCATGGATTGCTAACCGATCGCAGACCCGATAACGGCTCCATGCAACGGTGGGCCGACCTCGTCGAGGATCAGAGCTACACGTTCGATCAGGTCCTCCCTTTCTACCAACGAACGGCCACCTTCTACCCTCCTCAGAACGAGCTTCGACCCCCCAACGCCTCCGTGCAATACAACCCGGCCGCATACTCCCCGGCCGGGGAGCCCCTCCAAGTATCCTACCCGATCGACAGTATCCCATTCTCCAGCTGGATGGTCGGCGGAATGCAAGCGATTGGCATCAACGAGACACAAGACTTCAGCAGTGGGCATTTACTAGGTGCGCAATGGTGCCCCTTCACCGTCCGCCCATCGGACCGAACACGGAGCAGTTCGGAAGCTGCTTTCATGGGCGCCGCAGCGAACAGCGACCGTCTGGCGACGCTCACTCTCTACAAAACCACGATGGGGAAGCGGATCCTGTTCGACTCCGACAGGAAGGCTACCGGGGTGCAAGTCCGCACCGGGACATCAACGTACACCCTGCACGCCAATCGGGAGGTGATCGTCTCGGCGGGGGCCTTCCAGAGCCCGCAGTTGTTGATGGTCTCCGGCATCGGGCCCTCGGAAGCCCTAAGTCAACACAACATCCCGCAGCTCGTCGATCTCCCCGGAGTCGGTCAGAACATGTGGGATCACCTGCTCTTTGGTCCGTCATACCGGGTCCGACTCATCACCGGCACGAATATCGCCAACAACTACGCCTTTGCGGCCGAGCAACTCGCCCTGTATTTCTCCGTGCGGCGGGGTCTCTTCACCAACCCATCGGCCGATTACCTGGCCTGGGAGAAGATCCCAGATCCCCTGCGCCAGCGCTTCTCCGCTGATACATTGCGTAACCTGTCATGGTTCCCGCCCAGCTGGCCGGAAGCAGAGGTGCGTCTCCCCATCAACACCCCTAGCCCTCCCCCCCGGCTTCCCTCCGCTCCCTTCCATCACCAACTGACTCTCTCTCCCCTCTCCTTGCCTGAGAGGACAGTACATCTCCTTCCACATCTTCATCGGCGACCTGGCGAACCCGCTGTTCGACCAACCCAGAGACGGATTTATGTACGCGTCGATGATCGGGTCGCTGGTGGCGCCCAGCTCGCGCGGGACGGTGACGCTGGCGTCGAACGACACGGACATCCTACCGATCGTGCAGCCGAACTGGCTGTCGACGGAGGCGGACGCGCAGATGGTGGTGGCGATGTACCGGCGGATGCGGGAGGCGTGGCACAGCGCGGCGATGGCGCCCATCGTGATCGGGGAGGAGTACTTCCCGGGGCCGAAGGTGCAGACGGACGCGGAGATCCTGGCGGTCATTCGGCAGACGGTCATGACCATCTACCACGCGGCGTGCACGTGCAAGATGGGGACCCGGAACGACAGGATGGCGGTGGTGGATCATCGAGCCCGCGTGTTTGGGGTGAGTGGGTTGCGGGTCGTGGATGCGAGCGCGTTCGCTATCTTGCCGCCGGGGCATCCGCAGGCCACGTGTTGTGAGTTTTGTCTCTTTCGCTAGCCCAGTGGTTGCCTTTCGATTGTGCAAGGGGTGAATCGAAGGTGTAAGGCTGTTGTGGATCAAAGCTGATAAGTGGGTAGATATGCTGGCGGAAAAGATCGCGGCGGATATCCTTCATGGTCCTGGAAATGGGGACGGGAATGGGGACGACGGCGACGACAATGGGGACAATGGAGGAAATGGGGGAAATGGGGGTGGATGATGCTCTCCCGTAGATCACTGGGTTGGAATCTGTGTTGTGGTCATGGCGAATGTTTTGGATGACGGGTGTTGGCGGGAGAGACTTTTGACACCAAGGCAGCGAGGAAATGAAGCTATTCAACTTGTAGGATCTCATTAATGAGATTGAAGTTAGGTAGTGTACTGTACTGTACAGTACCGTCAGTATGTAAGGCGAGAGAAGGATCGCGGGGAGATAAGATCACGTGATCTTATCGGCCTATCGCCTGGTCACGTGCCCATCGCGATCGATCTCCACCCGCGCTGCTTGACTTATCTCCATCCCGCCGTAATCGGTCTCGTCAACACTCGCGAATCATCCATCCATCCATCCATCCATCCACCAGGAACGGAAAGCATGGCAACAAACACTATCGTGATCGTTGGGTGCGCTGCTCGGCCCATACTGGAAGCGCTTTGCTGATGATGCCATCTCAGGGCAGGCGTCTCCGGACTCACCACCGCCTTTCTGCTATCGCAAGACCCGACCAACTCCATCACGGTGGTCGCCAAACACATGCCCGGGGACTATGACATCGAATACGCGTCTCCCTGGGCCGGTGCCAACTACTCGCCGTACGAATCCCCCTCTCGTGGCTCTACTACACTACTGACACATTATAGAATGGGTGCAGCTGGTAGCAACCAAGCCAGATGGGAACGAGAAACCTGGCAACCGCTGCAGGAGATAACGGAGAAGCACCCAGAAGCCGGCATCCACTTTCAAGGTATCTTCACCCACCCTCTCTACCCGCCAGTGTCGCTCCAGACCTAAGTATAATTCAGACAATGTGATCTACAACCGCATCAAAGATCAAGAGACAGCGACCGGCAAGAACTTCGCTGCCCTCATGAACGCAGAGCCGTGGTACCGCGACGTCGTCCCCAACGTGTGTATTTGACCGCCACCCCCCCCTCCCCCCCTCCCTTCTTCTACACCATTCCACTAAGCCACAGCACAGTTCCGATCCATGCCCAAAGACCAGCTTCCTCCTGGCATTGACAGCGCCCAGACCTTCACTTCCGTCTGCATCAACACCGCAATTTACCTCCCGTGGCTCCTGGGCCAGTGTCGCAGAAACGGAGCCATATTCAAGCGCGCAGTCTTCAAGCACATCACCGACGCAGCACAGGCCCACCACTCCGGACGCCAAGCAGACATCGTGGTAAACTGCACCGGTCTTTCCTCGAAGACCCTCGGGGGCGTGCGCGATGAGACGCTCTACCCGGGCCGCGGACAGATCGTTGTCGTCCGCAACACGCCCGGGAAGATGGCCGCCCTGTCCGGAACAGACGACGGGGAAGAGGAATTGTGCTATATGATGACGCGCGCCGCCGGGGGCTGCACGATTCTAGGGGGCTGCTACCAGCAGAACCAGTGGGATCCGCTGCCGGATCCGAATCTCGCGGTGCGGATCATGCGGCGCGCGATCGCGGCGTGTCCCGAGCTCGTGGCGGAAGGGCAGGGCATTGAGGGACTGGACATTGTCCGGCATGGGGTGGGGTTGCGACCTATACGGAAAGATGGACCACGGGTGGAGCAGGAGTCTATAGGAGGGGTGGCGGTGGTGCATAATTACGGGCATGGCGGGTTTGGATATCAGGCTTCGTTTGGATGTGCGGCGGAGGCTGTGCAGTTGGTCGAGGACAGTCTGCGGCGGAGGGCGCAGGCGAAGTTGTAGTTGTGCTTTACGCCCATTTGATGCGGTGATAGAAGCGTCTCGTATCGACACATCCCGGGCCCACCCGCTAAGCGATATCGGTACTAGTATGATCTGTTGCTTGTGCCCTGCCAGGCTGAGATTCCTGGGTATATGACTTCCTTCCTTGCCTATCAATTATCGTCCAGATAAGATGCCCCCGAGTCCACATCATGGGCTTCTACAAATTCTCCTATCTCCCAGCAGAGCTGCGAACACAAATCTGGGAGGACAGTCTTCCGCAGAAACTTGGTCGTCCCATCTACCGCTGGAAAGAGGGGTGTTGGCAGTTGAGCCCCTGCGACCCAACCACCGGGGCTGGACAGCCTACGCTCGAGTTCCGCCATACGCTCTTGCAGAACGTACGGATGGACCTCCCACAGGTCTTTGTGAATCGGGAGGCGCGGACTATTGCCTTGAGATGGCTCCAGCGCCAAGGAGCAACGATCACAGTCGATCCAGCGCAGCAACCCTTGACGGTAGCACGGGTGTTCGACCCCATCCACGACGCGCTGTACATCTCCTCAGGCGCATCAGAGGATTACCTGCATTTCATCCTCGAGCCGTTCGAGCGACTGGAGGAGCTGGAGGGACAATCCGTCACCACCATACCGCCGGCCGTCCGGCAGATCGCGCTGGCCAGAGAGCTGTTCGTCAACTCTGCCGGCCTGTTCCACGACATTTTCCGCCATTTCCAGCACATCCAAACAGTCTACGTGATCGAAGACGTACCGCCGGATCTGGAACAGCCGATGGAGAATACGCTTCAGGACTGGTGGGAACTCGAACGTACCACTGGCGTGCGGATTTCGTGGGACTTTACTCGGGACCGGTTCACGCGACCCCTGAGTGATGCAGCCGATGACCAACGACTGTGGGCACTGCTCAAGCGGGCCAGCGTAGGGCTACGCCGGCAGTTGCCACCGGAACTGCAGGCTGTTTTTGAGGTGTATCCCGTTGTCGCTGTGCGAAGAGGAGCACAAACACCCAGATTAGACCAATGAAGTACTGTAGCATCAGCTGTCACGCAACTCCATTCCACGTACGAACCAATCAACTAGACGACTAGACTTAATATGTCCACACCAACCCAACACCCGATCGAACCATCGACTTAGCGAACAGCCTGGATCGCCGCCTCAACATCCATGAAATCATCCGCCCGCCTGGCCGGCCGGCCCCAGCGCACGATCCCCTCGCCATCCACGGCCCAGAACCCCCCCGCCTGCCACCGACTGCCGCTCTCCGTCGGCCGGTTCCAGATCCCCTTCTCGCGGCCCAACTTGACGATATTCATCAGCGCGCTCGGGCTCATCACGTGACTCCAGGAGGCCACCCCCGAGCCCCAGCGCGCATACAGTCGCCGCTCGACATCGACGATCACCCGCACCGGAGTCGATCGAGACCCCGACCCAGGCGCTACCGCCCCACCCACCGCCTCCAGCCACCGCGCCGTGGAGGGTGCATCGCTATGCGAGACCGCGACGAAGTCGAGCTGCGGGTGCTGGGCGGCTGCTAGGCGGAGGGTGCGGAAATCGGATTCCGCCACTGGTGATCTCGTCAGCATGGTCGGAAGGAAGGGGAGGAGGCAGACGAACCTGGACATCCGCAGTGGCGGAGAAAGAGGATGATCGTGGGTTGGCGGTTGGGGTTGGGCAGGGGGAGCTCGGGCGATGAGGGGGCGGGGTGGCCGAGCCGCGGCGGGGTGGACACCTCTACGGTGGACGGAGCGAGCCAGGAGGAGAGCTCCTCGGTGATGGTCATGATGGACTGTGCTGTGTGGATGCGGTGATACTGCGGTTCGATGTTGCTATTACTTCGGTGGTCAATGATTAATTGATGGAATGATTGATGGGTGGATGGTGAAGGGGTGAGTAAGCTATGATGCCATTGGTGGGGGCGGGCACGCGGGCGGAGTTCATCCGAGCCGAGCTTCTTGCCCTATCCATGAGCGGCAATGTTACTTACGGGTGTATTTACACTGAGTATTGTGAGTCTTCTGCCTGGCTAGCGGTAGAGAATGCGGGGTGCAGAAGGATTGGCACTAAAGCACTCAATCGTGGCCCGGGGCTGCATCCCCGGCTCGTGTTGAGAGGCTGACCTTATTTCCACTCTCCTTGGCGGAGCTGGCATCATACATGAATTTCACCGCCAACCAGGATAATTCAGGGGATCTTGAGTGTGTTCACTACTAGGATACCTCGGTCAATGCATCAGGGTTAAGTAGTGCAGACAACTGCTGCCATCGATAGCTGGCACGGCAGCGGGATAGTTGCTCAATAGTTCGGGACCAAAGCGAGGAAGCGAGGCTGCTACATGCGACAGATGTGCACTAGAGACCCTGGCTAAGGATTGCACTACCGGCTTTCTAGTCTGATAGGCCGCTAGAATGGGCCAATGCGCCGCTATCAGTAACTCTAACTCCCCCTCGTGAGACGGCCATCCACCCTTACACCTCGGTGCTTAATTGAGATCATCGGCCCAAGACAGGCGTCAAAACGCTGCTTAACGTAACCGCTCTGCTCTCCACCAAACAGCTGCACTTTTCGTACTCTGCAACGACCGCCAATCCAGTCAACCCGGTCTTAGCACCAGGGGATCAACAGGACTCGCCAAATCGACTTCCTTGGCTGCAACCCTCAATGGCCAGGGGACTCGTATTCGCAGATTAGCCGCCAGGAACAAGCAAACGCGATGCAGGGACCTCGTATCCCGGTGCTGGAGATATATTCTGGCACGACCAACAAGGCCAACGGCAGAGAACTATAAAGGCTGGGAACTACGCCCCCTGCTGCTCCTGTCCCAATGTTCTTTGTCCACCCTGATTTGTCTTCACCTCCACTCGTTCAATCCGTGTATCCTCTGTTGGTCAACATGCGTCCCTCTTTGCTTGTACTTACCCCTCTCTTGGTCACGGCCACCACGCACGGCCTCACTCAGCTGGAGGCTCTGCATCTTCTGAAGCGCCAAAGCAGCGGCAACGGCGCCTTCATCCCCGGTACAACAACCGTCTCCGACTGTCCGGAAGGCTCAATCCTGTGTGGCACCAGCAACACCTGCTACTTCCCCTCGCGGGGTGACACTTGCTGCCCAGGCGGGACCTGTACGTGCCCAGTATCAGCCTCCTCCGTTCCACTGTCAGCTAGCTAACCGACACCCATGCAGGGGCCTGCCCCGGCGACTCCTTCTGCCTTCAGGACCCCTACTGCTGTCCCACCGTACGTTCACCCATCCATCTTCCCATGCAAGACCATCGAGACTGAGCAGGTGTAGGGTCTGGACCGCGAAACCTGCGCCCAGCAGTACGGCGTGACCCTGACTCCGACCGTGTCGAGTGCCGCGGACGTTCCCGACACCACCACTCAACCGACCTCCGCGCCCTCCGCTCCATCCTCTTCCTCCACGTCCGTCGATGAGACACACAGCAGCAGCAGCAGCTCGACTTCCGTCCCTGTCATCCCGACCACAACCTCGAGCACCTCCGCGGGCGCTCCGTCCTCCGTGCCGACTTCCACCCCTGCTGCGTCTTCCCCCGCCACCGCCACTCCGTCGACTGGACTGTTCACTGGCGGCGCTGTACACGCCCGAGAGATGGCGGCCGGTGCACTTTTGCTAGGCGGAGTGGGAGTGATGGCAAATGTTCTGTGAATGAGCTTTACTCCGGAAGAAATGTGTGATATTGGCGCGGGTACTGTTATGGTAATATGGTGAGGGCTTAGCTAGTTGTCAGTAGCGTCTTGGAACAACGAAGAGGTTGATCATGTGTTCGCATGTCAAAACTACCCAGGATCGGATTTGGAATCTCTTCGTGGTGGTTGTAATCTAGACAAGTTATTCCACTGACTTGGTGGTCTGGACCCGATCGCAAGGGGATAGAACCGACGGATGCAGCTCCCAAGTTAGGGCTCGCGGGGCCGCTGGATGGTAATCCTGGCAAGGAGGTGCTACGCGGGACAATCGTTAAGAAGGATTTTCACAATTGCACCTGCCCTAGCTAGTAGCATCAGCGCTACGGAATTAAGGTTGCGAGGAAGCTGCTGTTTACCACTTTCGTGTTATTGTGAATACACTCCGCACCCGAAAAAAAGGAATCGTGATCAACCCCACGCATTTCCGAATTGCCAACAGTTATTCCGCTTCAGTCGCGCATTCAACATGGGCTCCGCACAAACTCCAGCCAGGCCGACCCACCCTAGCCAAATCCGATCTCTACGAGATGACCAAGCCCGCAATGTCAGGACCTAACAGCACGAAGAACGTTAGCCATCAAGCTCAACCGCCCGAAGAGCAGGAATCCCTACAGTATCCCCCGTTGTACGCAGAGAAGGTGACCACATTCCCACTGCCCTGCTTAACCTCCGCATTCAGCACACTGGTCCGCAGCGTCTGCGGCCCGCCGGAGGGCAGGAAGGCGACGACGTGCGTCTTGCCGTTGACGGTGACGAAGCAGTAGCGCTGGGTGCTGTCGCCGTTCCCGTACGAGATCTGCAGGGTATTCTCCCCGGCGACGGCGAAGTCCACCGCGTCGAATGTCAGAGTCCCGTTGTCGGGGCCCCCGAGCCAGCCGATGATCTCGGAGCTGCAGCCGGAGCAGGTGATGGAGGTGGCGGATCCGGCGAGCGTGCCGGCGGATTTGGCGCCGTATGTGGTGGTGTTAGAGACAGTAGTCCAGGTGCCGTCTTTGAAGGAGGGGGTCCAGGCGGCATCGGAGGTCTAGGTCGAGGGTCACTCAGTAATAGGGAAGCAACTAGGAGGATGAACAGGGGACTGCGTACTATTGTAGCGGTAGTTCCGCTGATCGTCAACGGGAGCCAGATGTAGGTGGACGAGGCCAGGTCGGTCGACACCCACCGATCGCCCATGTACCTGCCCTACGGTTAGTGCCTGCGATGGATCTCTGCGCGTCGGTGTATAAGAGTAAGCCCACATCACCAGGCCGTTCACATCGGCGACATAGCTGGTCTGTGAGCTGTAAGTCTCCGAGCCCGAGGGTGCAAAATCTGCCCAGTCCGACCAGGGCTAGCGGGAGTTAGCATCGTGTCCTATATTCATCAAAAAGTGTGCGAGGTGTAGCCATACCCCGGAGAGATTCGTCGCCGTGGTGTACTTGTTATCATTTGGGCCTGGTACTTGCGTCAATACGAGTAGTCACGGAATGGCATATACGTACTCCACCCTACTCTCGTCTGCAATTAGCATAATCACCAATTGTCTGGGTGAGTGAACCAACCGGACAGCTGACTGGCAAACATGAAATACGTGTCTCCGGTCTTATATACGGCGGGCGCCTCGTAGTCCGCCGTGAAGAGATGAACATTGCTTTCGACGGTCAAGTAGTCGGCCGACAGCCGGTCGATGCGCAGACCGTTGGCCCTCTGAAGGCGACATTAGAAGAGGGATGCGGCTCATGGTGCAACAACACCTACGTCTTCGGTGAGAAGATAGCCCGTCCCATCGGTATCTGCCCGATGTCCACAATATCAATCAAGTATTCATCATATCAAAGTCAAGAGGTGCCCACCTTTGAAGAGACCGAGATCTCGCGACTGGAACCCCAGCGGCCGCGACGCGTTCCTGAATTGACACTCCTCAGAACCCTGCCATCATCGCCAGCGAAACGAGTGAACATACAGATAGGTATACGCTCCGCACACCGTATCACTCGTAGCAACGCCTGCGCGGGCCTCCGCATAGCTCGAGTCATCGATGTGCAGCCACATGACGTATTTCTTTGTGTGGTCGTTGTAAATCACCTTGGGCCGTTCGACGACGCGGCTAGGCCCCAGATCCCCGGAGGCTTGCAACGTCAAGAGCTCGTTCTCAAACGTCCAGTCCAGGAGATTCTCGAGAGCAGAATCAGCATCCGACACCACGCATTGCATTCAGTCTGAAGGCCTCCCACCGTGCTAGAGTAGCAGTTGATCGACTGGAAGCTGGAGCCGGAGGTGTGGTTCTCGCCGATTATGTAATACACCCCGTCCACCTCGGTGAGCCCTGGAGATGCACATGCGGTCGCAGGTTAGTCTGCGCGCGCGAGGGCTCTCGGCGATAGTCTGACGCGGGTCTGCCTACCGGTGCCATGGGCCTGGATATGCTTGTTGGTCCCCGCCGCAGTCCACGTCGCGCCGGGGACGATGTCCAGCGAGGCGTGGACGACCTGCGCGAGGGGGATCAGGGCGACCAGGAAAGTGATAATGCGATACATATGGTTAAGCAAGTGACTATAACGGAGTGGTGTGAGGATTCAAGACACGTCTGAGGCGAGGACTAGCTGGTGGGCCTTGATGAAGAATGCAGACCATCTTATACCCCTCTGCCGTCCGCAGAGGGGTGTGGTGGTCTGCTGGTGGCGAAGCGTCATGGTACTCCATGATAGGCGGATAAATAAACATGGATGCCAGTCACACTTCATCACCTCGAATTGCGGGGTCGTGCAAGGGGAGTTGGGCTATTCCGACCGATGTTACATTTGCCCACTCCGTCCATTCTGCAACACCTGCATCATGTGCGCCGCTCGATCTGATCCTGGAGCCGCGGTTAATCAGCCCTTCGGGTCAGCGGCACGGCGCGTTGCGGAATCCAAGGAACAGCTCCGATGCTAGCCCTAAACATCGAGGGCGGCGGATTTCTTTTGCATTGACATCCCTTGTTCGGAGCTTGTCAGAAGCTAGCATTGCTGCATAAAGTCCGCAGCACCGCAATTTGTCTCTCACACACTCAGCAAAGCCTGACTGCAGATTGCGCAGCAGTGAATTCCACCATGTGCGCGATCGGGAGATCCTGGGACCTTCATCGTGATCTGGTCTCTATAGCTCAATAGAACGATTCTGGGTCATCAAACCCAGTAATCTACAATGGGAAGAGAAGAACTCGGACGAGGGTCTAGATTGAAAGATCCCTAAGCACAATGACATCATAGGAAAGTGTTTCCTCCGGAATGATCAAGAGAACGATTCTACTTGGCTCACAAGCTATGGTTTTCTTCTGCTCTTCTCTGCGATTCTGCTATATGCAGGCAGTGTCTTCCATCCGTTTCTCTTCGTGTACTGTACTGTACTCCGTACTCCGTAGGCAATGGCAATGGGGATTTGCGGGGTTACCGCCGTACCGCCTTCCATATCAGGCTGTTTTGCCGTCCTCCGCACGGACTCCCGCACCCCATCAAAACACAGACTGTGTAGGGGACCAATGGTCCCCCCACTGCACTCACACTGGTTCAATGTTATTTCAGATACTCGTACAATGGATGATGGAGAATGCAAGGTTCCGCAATTCATACAAGCAAGGATTCTTTGCGAGCGAGGTTGTTCTTGCACGCGAGCTGCAAGCTGCGAGCTGCAAGCCCTCACAGCTAGGAAAGCAGAGGAACGAGCACAGATCATATAGCTTCCAATCTCTTCGGCAGGCCAACCCGTACGGTTACTTACCATGATGATAGGACCACGCATCTTTGCTCTGTGCCCGGTCTATCTTCTGTTTTCCAAATCCTTTCTCTTTGTGCGGCCATCCGCCACTTCTTTGAGACTTCTGAACACAGGAAGAGGTCCACATAATGTGGAAAGAAATGCTTACAATACAGAGTCAGTGATTCGACAATTGCTTTGTCACAGTCTCTGCACTGGCAGTGATGGGGTGCATTGCTCTACATCTTGTCTTTATGTGCCCTTTGTTGCAATTCCTGACTCTTTATCTCTCTCTTCTAGTTCCTTACAATGCCACCCCGGGAAGACTCAGATCTTTACTTCCTAAAGCAACCAGACAATGAGAAGTCACACCGTCAAGCCCGCTCCATCTATCTTCTCCCAATGTTAGACTGGTTTATAAATAGCTGCAGATGAGCACCACCCCGTCAAACATCTTCATCATCCTTTGCTCTCCCACACCCTGCTCCCGGTCTGCAAGCACAGTTCCTCTTCCCTACCACTACCACGCTGCAGGTATGTCTGTCTCAACCCGTCCCTGTTGTCCAGAACCCAAGGTGGTTCCGTCTGCGGACCCCGCTCTTGACATGGCCGTACTGAAAAAGTTTGCTTCAAAAATGAAGCACCTTGCTCATAGTCTCCATCTAGATTGGACTTCTTGGCGGCTGGTGAAAGGGGGTTCTCCGGTTGCGCATGCGCTCGGCGTGGACCGAGATATGCTCGGCTTCGTGGATTTAGTCGACTTGACGCTGCATCTCATCCTCTGGCAGGACAGGCTCAGGGCGGAGCAAGAGAAGGACGTCAACTATGAAGGCGGCGTGGACTTGTGGAAGGCGACCGCGGGGAGTGATCACCGGCAACAGCTCGAATTCATCTCCCATCACTGGGGCTACTATAGGGGAAGGCTGCATGAGATGTGGACTGAGGGGTTCCGTAGAGTGATACATGAGAATGCCTGGTCTCGCCCGTCATGGAAGCGACCGGACTGGAAGGCCTACGCCATAGTCTGGTGTGAACCACAACTGCGTAACATTCTCTCCATGGTAACGAGTCCAGAGGCGCATTCTACAATGCGAGCTGCGGTCCATCATTATCTAGACCCTGCGGCGGTATCTCGACTCGACGAGTGCCGGCCACCGGTCCACCGGTTCGATCGCCCCTTCATGAAGCCGACTCAATCCGAGGACGATATTTGCCCCATTTGCCGGGGGGAGCTAGAGCCGGACAGTGGCGATTTTGTCTGGTGTAAAACACAGTGCGGCGCTACGTATCACGCACTGTGTTTTGAGCAACAGTATGTGCTCAGGGGTGGTATACGGAATATGCCATCTTGCCCATACTGTCGGGCCCTGTGGCCTAACTTTCCTCGGCCCTGCAGGCGTTCGTGTTCATGCCGGAAGCTGGAGCGGGGAGACTAGAAACAATCCAGAACAATAAATGGCGGAAGTCAGCCAATAACATAACGTCTTTCAAGCTTAGGATGGCTGGACCTCGTCCACTATGGGTGAAGATAAATAGTATACCCCAAAAGTAGAAGGCCAAGAAAACCATGCAGATTACCAGCTTGATCTCTATGGTAAAATCGCTATTCTTATACCTTGGGCTATCAATACAAGCACATGAATAGCAATCAAATCATTCTTCTTCCAGAAGCTAGCTATAGTTATATCGAACACACTTTCGTGAATTATTGCGACTACTTAGATAATCATCGGATACGGACGCCCAATAGCTATGGCAAGGTGCGTCAACTTGCAATATGTCGGGGAGCATGTGCATCGGGGACAGTCTGGCTATCCGGGAGAAACTTCTTACACAGTGGCCAAAGGGGTAAGAGCTGTCTACTAGGTACTTCCTGACTCAGATGAATCCAGACTACGTGAGGCTATCTGAACAACTAGCTAAGAACCATCGAGGACACCGGGGTGGGCGGGCGGTGGGCGGCAGTCTGGTTGCTGAGGCCGCAGGGCCGCCAACAATAGCACTTCGGGACCATGTACTTTTCCCATCCATCTATTTCTTCTACCGAGCCAGCTCTGTTGTAAGAACATTGAAAGGGCGCAGGTGCTCCGGGGCAGTAGACCTGTGTGTGTGTGTGTGTGTGTGTGTGTGTGTGTCTTCTCAGAGGGAAGTTTGGTCGAATAGAGAGGTGTATGGCAGCTGCTGTCGACCACTTGCGGAAATGCACCGGAACACCGTGGAATGATGCCGACCTTGGAGGTAGCTTGGGCGAAGATTTGACTGCGTCGAGGGGATCAGGTTCACGGGCGTGGTAATATGTCCGTTGGGCGCATCGATGTGGCGGCGATACCCTTCTGCAACTGAGATGAACGGGTCGGTCGGCTTCCGCGGGCTTCTCTGCAAGCAATAGGCACATTAGTGTTCATGTAGCATTCTGAGGGGACGATAGGAATGGGATTGGTTTGGGGGATGGGTGCCTCTGGTTGAATGATGGAGATTGCTGACCAGCCTCACTACTGCCCACTGCCTTCGGTAGTGAGTAGGGCTAGTAGGCACGGCCACATCCACGGCCCGTGTAAGCAACAAAGAGCATGAGAGATTGCGGGAAAACGGATTGAAGAGCGAATGCGACCGTTGCTTCGGAGGAAGAAGGAGTGGATGCTTTGGAAAGAAGGGGAAGGGGCTGGGAAATGCCCCGGAGTTGTGCCAAAGGGCAAAAGGATTGTCGAAGGGGGCATGGGAGATGAGGTGCGGATGGCCGCGATCTGCGTTTGCCGCACTTACGCACCGTCCCGTGACGAGATTGGCATGACAGGGGACGACGATTGAACCTTGAACCTTGAACCTTGAACCTTGAACCTTGAACCTTGAACCTTGAACTTAGAGCTTGCAATGCAAGTTCCCCAGAATTTCGACCATAACCATCGGCGCAATATCCGGTTTACGGAGGAGTACGGTCCAGTAGCCTGGAATCTTGGAGCAATCATGCGGTCCACTCTTGACTTCCTTCCATTGCAAGATCACCCTTGGTCGGGGGAATGGAGTACTCCGACTGAGAAGGGGGGAGGGGGAAGTGCCCTCAGAGGGCAGCAAGATTTCAATCTGGACTGGACCAGGGTCAAGCGATTGGTAACTTGTCCCTATGAATCCCCAACACTGTCTCCGGCCTCTGCGCACAACCACACCACAACTCAACGGATTTGAGACATTCATCGTATTCCAGCCCCCTTACCAGGATAGCCATCCACATTCGCAGCATCCGGTGTCCTGCTTTCTCTGCGAGCGAGCATGGCTCTCCGGTTCAGCAACAGATGGACATTGCCGCCATTGCCTGGGGTCTACGATCACGGACGCCCCCTGATTTACTTCCCCACAACCGCCCTTGAAGGTGGCAAAACGGTACCCATGAATAGGGGGGTGGGCTGGCTTCTGTTTGAGTTGAAAGTCCAGAAAGGGGAATATGGCCAGCCAGCGCTCGTCCTGTGTTATCTTGATGAATGGTGCACAAGTCAAGGATCAGCCTGTCTGGATGGATGGGCACAGTCAACTTGCATTCTCCGTCGAGAGGGAGAAGCTGAACTGAGACATTCGGAGAGACAGAGAGAGAAAGAGAGAGAGGCGATCCGAGCCCCAGCACAGCAATGCACCAGCGCAGCAATCCCCCTCCCCGGTCGCAAAAGTGCTGGCCCCCCTCTACAGCCCAGAAAATGTCCCCGTTCTTGGTATTGTCGTGCACTCGACCTGTGACCGTGTATCTCGATCGCTGGAGATATCTACGGAAGGCCTTCTTCGGCTTCCTCCCCTCCTTCAGGCTTGGGCCCACGATGAGAGAGTCCGTTTCTGGATCAGGAGGTCAGGCGGCATTTTCAAGAGTCGATCCTGTCTCACGACGGATGGAGAGGTATCCTACGATTTGGGCCGGTTTCTGGGTTTCTGGCCGTCAACTTCATCTGGTGTGTACGCTGTGAAGACCTGTCCTACAACCGGCCGCATTGCCTGAGACATTATTGCCTCATGCGCCGTCCCAGCCCCTTTGGAGCAAGTATGATCGGAGAGTTGGAAGTCCGGGAGCATCGGTTTCAGCATGGAAACCCTTGAAAGCCTGGTCCTTGTCGTCCTCCTTTCCAACTTGCGTTGTTGATTTACTTGCGTGACCTTTGGTATGCTCGGAGTCATCTTTCTCCTTCGGTCGTCCTCAGCAGCCAGTAGAAGTACAGGTACTCTGACGTCACTAGAGTCCGGCCATGACCATTCAACCTGCTCCCGACTGAAGGGGGTGTCGATATGGCATCAGCTTGGCAATACGACGGCGCCCGTCTCTCAGGTCCCGTCTGGCGCTATGGGGCAAGGCAGCGCCCCACAAGAGGTGGTATCTTTCTGGAAGCGATGCCAACCAGGTGGATGACAGCCTGAACATTATCGTTGGGTCTAGATCGCGTCCAGAAAGAACAGCCCGTGGCTATGTGGCTTTGCGGTGGCTAAACATCTAACCGGGACTCTGGATCCGAACTCTCAATTGCTTTGGGGTGGTTTCCTTCGCCATACAACAGCGATAGCCACTCACTTGTTCCCCTCCAGACAATCTTGTAGACGGACAACTTACCTGTACTGTGTAGATCAATGATAGATAGAAGCGAGAAACGAGGATTTCGGATACCTGTAATGTAGTCCGTATGCTACTATGCGCCCTTCACCATGCTCCTACTATGTCGGGTTCGAAGCCCTAAGACAAGCGAGAGCAGCTCCTCAACAGCAACAGCTAGCGTCAGGTCTAAGCTTCATCGCCTCACCGCGACACGTAAAGTGTCGCGAGCCCGCCACTTGACTTAGACATTTCCTGTCTTCTGTCTTCTATGCGCGGGTATCGAGATAGCACGTTAGCGAATTTCTCCATCGCTATTCACCATGGATAGGGACTCCAACAGCACAGAATGCAATCTTCCAGGCGATCGATGTCAGTACAGGTGAGTATGCTCTGCTTCCCGCTCGATGGCTTTCGACTTACGCAATTGCAGGTGCTTCGTTCGGACTCTGTATCCTCGGAAGTCTCCTGAACCAAGGCCACCACGCTCCCTTGGAGAGTGGCTCCAAGACACGGTATAGAGTTCCGCAGAGTGAAAGGCAGGATAAGACAGGGTCTGAATTCATGAGGCAATGGAGAGTCTAGTCTGTTTCATTCTTGGATAATGACTTGGACATTCAGACGAGCGAGGTTGATAACCTTCGCTGTCTAGTGATGAGGATAGAATATTTAACAGCAGGTTCGCATCCCGATATCCAGATATCCATTCCACTTCCCATCGCAGTCCAGCGCATTGTGCTTGAGAACCAGGCAGACATTCGTGAGTCGTCTTTTCGTCTTTTGTTCACACCGCAGGCATTACTGGTGGGAAGCAGCTTTCTTTCTGACGCTTCTGGCCGTAAGAGTGTGCTTGAAACCCAACGTTCTCCCTGTCTAGCGCTGGTGCATCGCCTGATCAACCGCTTTCGTGAGTGCTTTTCTCTATTAGGCCGGTGGGCTGGTTGATCACTAACGACGGCTTCTGTACCCGATAGTCTTGAGTCGGATCAGCCTGCGGACGTTTCGACATTTGGTTGATTCAGCCCGTCCACAAGTTGTCGAGAAAACAACCCCCTGTGAGGTAAGTTAGCTGTCCGGCAAGTCTTGGAACTGATACCTATACTCATCTGCTTTTCTTTTGCCACGATACAGCCAAGTCCAGCATCAAGACAACTAGAGCCTCTGCGCATTCGGAACATTCGATTAGAAGGTTGAACATGGAGACACTCCTGAAAGCTCAGACGCCAGGTATGTGCTTCCGGAGGCTCCGAGTCCTGGAGGTTAGTCGCTGATGCCCGCGGCACGCCAAAGCGGAGCAAGATAAACACAACGATTGTCGCCAACGAGCCGAAGATACGGCCAGACAAAAGTCGGCTGATTTCACAAGGCCTTCTCCTCGCATCCTGGACCGATCAAGACAGACAGCTCAACCTCCAAAGTCTGCCAACACTGTACCACCTACCGGGGGTGCAACTGCCGAGTCGAGTTCGGAGCAGCCAGGGCCGGCTACCACAGCCGGTTCCTGTGGGTCACTTGGTGGGGTAGAGAACGGTAGCTCAGGGCCTGCCAGCGCCGCCTCTGCTGCGACTAATGAAGCAGGCCAAGCAAGTCAGGGCCAGGGCAGTGATCCTCACGGTAGCCAGATCCAAGGCTCGAAGGATGCGGGGGATACAGCTGGGTCTCCACCTCTCAGCACGGCGGCTCAGACTGCCGAAGGAAGCCCTGTGGCTCATGATCCAGACGCGGGATCGAGTAATGGGAAGCAGAGTGGCAGTCCACAGCCGACCAACACCAATCCGACTCCGAACGCAGCGGCTCAGACTGCCCAGGTAAGCCCTGTTGATGGGCCTCCTATTCATGAGACGCGCTCAGTAAATGGGGAGCAGAGTACTGACTTGCAGCCGGTCAACGCTGTTACAACTACTCCGAACACGGCAGCTACCTCAAATCATTCCTCTGGCACACTTGGCAAGGTGAAGGATCGTACCCCGGCGCCTGAGAGCACAACGGATAACGGAACCAAATCCTCGTCAAGCACAGAATGATGCCATTTTTCTTCCCTTTTCTTTCTTTCTCTTTCCTGTTCTCGGGTGACCTTTTTTCATTTGTTTTCGGGTGACAGCAGCCAAGGTCCAATGCATGTAAACTCCACACTCCTCCCCTTGGAGGTCTTTAACCTTCAGTCCAGTTCCCAAGTTTGGCAATTTCATTGCCATTCTTGGCGAGCTTGTTGACGAACCGGATCTACGAGACCTCGATATTGAGAAGATGTGGAAAGCACTAGGGAATCTGCCATATTATCATTGTTCGGGATGTCTTTGTCTTCCTATTTCCTTCTCTCTCTCGTTTTCTCTACGATTTCTTTTTTTCCCCCGCTTTTTCGGTCTCCCTCCAGATGTGTGTCTCTCTGTCCCTCTTAACCGGCTGGCACCATAGCTATCTAGTGACCAGGCCTGTGTAATCAAAGTCTTTCATCCCACCCTTGGTGCTACTTTCTCACCTTGTCTCATAGCCCGCCAATTCTACGTTGCTTCCATCGAAACTCGGGATTGATCGCTGATGATAGGTTCACCGCGCCGTTCACATCCCCGACAGGAGGATACGAGATGCATCCGCCATTTTTTTTTCGCGCATGCTTCGCTGGTCAGCAATCCAACTGAGCCGAACCTGGACGTCCGACGCGGCCAGGTATCATGATTGAAGGGAACACAAGCGAACCAGGATGGCTCACGATTCGCGTAGTGTTCCCGGAGTGTAGATGGGTAGCGGTTGGTTTTGAAATGTTGAGACCAGAGGCTTTGTGTCACGTTCGGAATCGAGTAGCCACCCTGGGAGTGACGAGACCTACGAAGCTCATGAAGCCCCCCGCTTGGTTCTTCCTTAAAAGCCTGCTGCTTGCTGTCGGCAAGGACCAGGCTTTCAAGGGTTTCCATGCTGACATCTAATCAGCCTGTCAGCTCAGTCTCCTCGCACGGTGACTCCTTATCTTCACTTACCTTTGCGACTTCAACTACCCCATCTTTCATCCTAGACTCCTTTGACAATCCCTGGCCCAAAGGTACGCAAGGCATCTCTGCCCGATTTCTGCCCGTAAACCGTGAGGGCTGTCCAGCTAATGAGCCACAGTCGGACAGCAATGGTGCGCGGGTCCATGGGAACCGGTGGGCGACCGCGGGAGCTAGATGACTTGGGATCCCAACCAGACGTGCCAGAACGGGACCCGTCGCAGGGAGGAGCACAGGATGCAGCACAGGATGCAGCAGGAGAAGCCTCGGTCGAGCCACCCAGCGAACGTCCACGGGGGTATTCACAACGCAATACCAAAGGCTATGATGAGCTGGCAATGCTGCTGGCACGCGAACCGCCGGCGCTCATTTTCCGGCGCTTCACGGAGCTGAACACCAAAAATTTGTTGTATATGCAGGCCGAGCTGACATTTTACGAGATGTGTCTGCAGCGTCATTCAGAAGCGCTCGCTCAAGACCCAGATCCTGAGCAACGCCCCGAAGCGCACTCGGTGCTGGAAATACTCCAGCATCCCGAAAGCGAGCACTGGCAACAGATCTTGCAGGTTCGGGAGCTGCTACAGAAATATAGTGAGTTCTTGCCCTGATTCCCGTGTGGCCTTGTTCTTCTGGTGTCAGATCCTGACCTCAAACGCTGTAATCGCCTCAGATACCGCTCTAGAACAGCATCGGCGATTGCTTCAACTGGAACCCCCGCATCCGTCGGACCTTCGCAACCACCGGATCCTCAAGGAACTCGTGGACAAGAACCTTACACCCGGAGAATACGTTGACGTTGTCCTAGATCCCACCGAGCAGTGGGATGAGGTGCGTTGGGTGGAGGAGCACGTGGCACTCTGCAGTCCGGCCGAGGGAGCAGACCCAGTGACACGGTTTGCATACTATCACGTCGGGCCCGCGTTGTACAAACTTTGGGGGTATAAGAGAACTGAGGTTTTTTGCGCCGTTTCTTGCTTCCTTCCTTCCTTCCTTCCTTCCTTTGCCTGTGTCTCTATGTGTATTGAATCCTTTTGGCGTGCCATGGAGTCATAGTCCCGCATCAGATCACTGACTTGGAGAGCAGAGCCCCAGTTACGATAGGGAACGCGGGGTACACTGGGGATTCCGAAATCGTCGCAAGATCAATGTGTTCACACATTCTCTCTTTCTCGTCCTGACGAGCGGGACGATCGCCTTAGTGATGTGGGGATTGTCCTACATCAAGGGGGGAAATCAACGCCTGTGGTTTGCCATAGCCATGATCCTCCTCTTTGTGATTTTGGTTGGGCTGATGGTCCCCGCTCGACGGGCCGAAATCATTGCGATGGCAAGCGCGTGAGTCCAGGGAAACTCTCCTTCCTTTTCGCGCAAGTAAGGCGGCTGCTAATCGTCCGTGTGTGATGGCAGGTTCGCCGCGGTTGGGGCGTCTCTCCTGGTCAATTCGGCTACCGGGCAGAGCAACCACACTGGCTCCCCGCCCGCCCGGCGGGTCATTGATACCTCCTCATAGGTGTTGGGCGTGGCTCTGCGTGGCTGTTGTCCCATGTGCTCTTTTTCCTTGTCTATGTTCTTTGGCTTTCGAAACTGCGTAACAGATTGCAACTGAGATTTTGAATGCGTTTGGGTTCGAGTTTGGCTACGATGGAATAACCAGATTGGCAGGATTGACAGAAATGGAATGCTATTGTGAAATTTGAGTAGTTTTGCGGTGATGCTGGCCCCCTGAGAGTCGAGTGTAATCCGGACCCCCTCGCCCATCTGTAGCCAGCCCTAATCGGAACTCATACAAACGATGCCACTGGAGTAGAGGTCGAGCCATTGGGCGCTGCTCTTCTCAATGGTTGATTAGGGAGGCCTGACACACTTCCGACTGCCACTTACGACGGCCGGCTTCACTCACTTCTCTGAGTGCAGCCCTCTTTGCAGGGACGGACTCTTTGGGTCGGGGCAGACATCTGGCGGTTGGTAAGTTACGAGGTTGAACCGCGAATAAGTTACCTCTTAGTCATCTATGGCGGCTTGGTGCCTAAGGCATCGAGAATAGGACGCACGCATGACGGGCCGCTAAGGCGCCTGTCAGGCCGGCGTGGCACTGTCGGAGTTTATAGCACCTGCCAGTCGGTGCCCTCTAATCGAATATGAAATGAGATTGAGCTTGGAGCATAGAGACCCAGTCCCCCTCTTGCTGAGGTGGAGCGGCTGGTAACTACCAGTACGGACTATTATTGACTTCCCTGTTCCTGGATTCTGACAAGGTTACAAGGCGACTGACTGCGTTTAGTGACCGTGCGGTCTCCCGTACACCGAGACCTTCCTTCCCGTCTCCTCCTCCTCGACTTCACCTCCTTTCTACGTGCGGCGTTGCGAAAACACTAGTTTGCTTCCTTAATTTCCCTTCCTATGACAATACCAATCACTGTCTCACTGAAGAAATCCCGTCTAGTACAATATGCGGCCTGAAAAGCTCGACGACCCGGACAACCCCCAGAAACTTGAAGAGATGGCTGGCAAGGCAATCCGCCGGCCAAGTTGGGGTTATGCCAGTTTGGGACAGGTAGCCCACCATGAGCCCTAATACAAACTATGCCACTCGAGTGGCGGACAGGGCCGCTCAGGCAAGCCTTTAGACATCTGGCGCGGTGCCTCTTGAGTATCGTCAATCGACCAATCGAGACGGCAGTCACACAAGGGCACCGCGAAACACTCCCCCCAGGGACTCAGCCAGGGTTGACGACAGTGCAGACAGGTGTTTCGGTGCGGGGCTTCTTGTGGGTGCCCCAGTCCCCGTCCTCGACACCACTCCCGAATACAGCCGACGTGGGCGGCGAAGCCGCAGTAGCGCTTGCACCAGAAGATGGTCTCGAGCTTGTCTCCCAGCGGGCGGCAACAGATCTGGCAGTCGTGGCCATGTTCGAACGGGGTCGGATGGCGCGGTTGCTGCGTGTTATCAGTGCCCATGCGAGCAACGGCGGCGGTTCCCACATACTTCTGAATGCAGGCGCGGATGATCGGCTCAAACTGCGAATCACCCAAGGCTGCGAACGCCTGGTCGAAGATGGCCATGATGTGGAAGGCCTGCGACACCCAGTTTTCCCCATAGGAAGCTAGCCAGAGATCGGGATCCAGAAACCTCCGCGCCCGCCCCCTTCTCTCCCGGTAGAGTCGGGCCAGGGTGGGCGCGTAATGACCCCAGTGGTAAGAGACCAGCTCGAGGCCCCCACGGAGCCGCTCGTTCACCATTTTCCCGTAGGCGCTGCTCTCATCAATCGGGCACTGTTCCATGAGACTTGCTGCGGTCAGAGACTGCGTCACGGCTTCCAGGAAACAGGCAAGACCTTGCTGAGGCCCACCCAGTGCACGGAGCCACGGGGTCTCCTTCTGGACCACCCAGGAATAATGAAGCTCGGTATGGTGGTAGTACCAGAGTTGGAGGAAGACACGATCCGCGGCGCCAATTGCAGCTATGTCGAGAGGCGCATCAGATGGAGCACAGTCGGGGACAGACATTCTTACACCCAGTATGCTATTCAGTCGAGGCTAGGAGTGATTGGATTCTTGCGGAGACCACCAGGGGTGACCTGACAATGCGGATGTTCATTTATATACTCTGAACTTTACCCGTCAGCCCACATCAGTCCGGGCTAAGGATGTAAAGAAGCCGGGTAGTTTGTTTTCTCTTTGATGATGTAGAGACAAAAAATCGCGTGTCTTTTATTATTCACCGTCCCGATTGTGCCTCCCGTGGTGATTAGGTCAATGCGCCACCCATTGTAATGCAAGAAAGGTAGGCTGGAAGCAAAGGAAATGCAACAATGGGGACTAGGAAAGAGGGAGAAAAACAAAGAAGGACACGCGGAATCAACAAAAAGAGGATCTCCCCGACTGGGAGTCGAACCCAGGTCTCCCGCGCTTGTTCCTTGGCAGGAGTGACAAGCGGAAATCATGACCGTTAGACCATCGAGGAGGGGATATGACAGGTATTGATACTTTGGCTTTATGTTAGAAAGCTGCCCTCAACGGAGCGACGAGCTGCCCACAAGGCCACAACATCTTCCTCCTGCCGGTTCACTTACTTATTCTGCACCCCAGATCACAGTATAGTTACGGAGTACAGTGGGAGGATATGAGAATGCAATGCCTCCCTTCTGACTTATCCCGAAGGCATCCACCCATCCATCACCTTTCCGCCTACTGTAAAAGTATTGGGAGGCCCATACTGCCGGCAGACTACCATGTGTAGCAGGCGGTCAACAAGCCACCTCGCCTGCACGTCGCGCGTACTTCCGGAGCAACAACATTAACCATCCCCAACCACCATGCCTTGTCTGCACGACGGCACCAACTATTCTGTCAAGTGGGGCAATCCGCCTGCGACCGGCAGCGGTGGGGACTTGCCCTTTTTATTGTACTATGAATCCTCCCCTAATCGCGGCCGCGTCTCATTCAAACCAACGCAACCTTGCGACAAAGCCTGGCGTACAAGTGTCCGCATTATCGCCGCGATGATCCGCTCGCGTCGACTGTACCCTTGGTACGCTATGCATGACCATCTCACTCGCCGCTCTCGGCGCAGCGACCGCTTGGGCCCAGTCGCCCGCGCGGGTTCTCCCTGAGTCTTCCAACTATCTCGGCGTCGAATTCAACACCACCAACATCACTGCCGGGTCGCGGATTGATCCATCCAGTAAGTCCAGCTCAGCTGAATTACCTCGTACCCAAAGCCCATACCACCATCAGCCAATTACTCACCAATTTGCATCTCATAGTTACCACCAATGCCCCCCCAAGCCTCCCAGCCCACCCCCACGACACCCACGGCCGGTGCCAGCTCTTCATGCTCGACCTCTCTCGATCCCCGCGCAGGCCGTCACAGCCACCACCGGCTACCCGCTCGTTCCCGGAGTCGCGGCCAAAGAAACCAGCCGCCTGCACTGGTGGAGATTGCCCAGCAGGTCGGGCCCCCGGTGGCGGCGGATTACTTCCTGGCCGTGGAGTCGTCGGAGTAACTGCGACTGTCTTTTGGTGCTCCTGTGTGTGTGTGTCTGGAGTCACCGAGGCTGCTGTGGAATCTACGCGATGATCGAAGAGTATTCGAGAGACCAGTAGTGAAAGCTACTATCAACAACTGTTGTTCAATTGTCCTTCCGATCTGCTCTCTTCCGTACTAGAGGTATGTTGTTGTAGTATATCGTGACAATTTGTTATGTAAGATTCCTTTGCTGTCGTCTCCGACTACTCGATATCAACGACCACTCTTTCATACAGATGAACTCACGCTATTCCCTTCATCCTAGATCAAAATCAAGGGTCTGCAGTATGATAGCTAATCTGTGCTACACAAACCAGAAGAAATTCCAAAAGCAACACCCTGCCGCATGCAGGATGAGACGAGCAGCACGCCAAGCATCCGGCCCCTGCATATGCCCATGCACGCCAAAGCAGGCGACCACGAGCACGAAAGTTCCGCCGGCCCCCGCTCCCTATCCTTCCGTGCCACGGTTCGCAAGCAGTGATGTGATATGACGTGCAGATCCCCTGCAGATCCTCGTCGTGATCTCAACGACCGGTCGCGGCGAGGCGAGCCAGCAGACACAATCCGATCGGCCGCATGGGGCATACCTGCCTCGTACACGTGTACACGTGTACAAGGTATGTAGCACACGCATGTGCTGACATACTAAGCGGGGTACCTTGCAGCAGCAGCCTGGCGCTGACACCAAGCCACAACTGACGTGAGCTTAAGCCTGCACTCTCTTCTGCCAGTCGTCAGTGACGCTTGAGCTCAACTATCCTCCTTAGTCACCCGCCGCTCGGACTCTCCGACTGTATCGAGGTGTGATTTCCGACCGAAGGAACCTCGCGACGGAACAAGACAATGTGAGCGTTTGGGTCTGGGATGCACGTGACCACCGCGAGTATGCCGGGCTACGATGCACACTGCCACTGGATTGGAGAAGTCCTCGCTGCGTGATCCAGAGGGGACATGATGGAATCGCTGCATGTATTTCGCAAACGCTTACTCCCTTCTACTAAGGATCGGGTGAGCTGGTCTTCAACCCCAAGCTCGATCCGTGGCCAGAGCCCCGTCGCTCGTCGCTCGCCAACCCAGTTGAATCTTCCGTCACGGATAGTCCCGGGACAGGACCTGCTTTCCTGGCCTCCCGTATGGCGACGCTCCTTTCTCGCATGGGCAAAGGTTGGTCGTGGCTTCAATTATCAACTGCCCTCGGCGATGCAAGGTAGCAGTTATACTAGGGCACGCCGGATCACCTGAGAAGACCGTTCACCTGGCACGGACCGACGACAGCTTTCCACCACAGGTGCACCGAGCGTTCCATCTAACATCTTCCTCAGACATCTGAGCGCGCGACTCAGGCCAAGATTAGTACCTGTAGTCAGCACCAGAAAACAGCAGATAGATGATCATCCGACAAAGATAGTCGCATCGACCCGGCGACAATCAACCACCCAAAACTGCCCGACCGGTCGCAAACTCAATCAGGGCTCCGACACACACGCCATGCAGCAACAGGCATCTACCCGCAACCCCTCAAATCGCATCCCCCAATGCAAAATCTCATTCTAGGCCCTTGACCTCACCCCGATGACGGATGAACCAACGATTCGAAGTGGTCCGAAAACCCAAATGGATCGTCCGCGGCACACGCAACCCTGATTTCCCCTCCCCGGGACCAAGAGAGTTCGACCCGACGAGCAGAAAACCTGATGCAGTACCAAACCGCCACCACCTCCTGGACCATGCACGGTCAATGACGGAGTCAGGAGACAGCATTGTCCCCACAATGAGACGGGGGCTTCTCCCCGGACTGACCTTGTCTACGCGGTCTCGCCCAGCCGATCCGGTTGATGTCACCGCACACAGGCCTCTACCTGTCCACGGCACAGCCCATCGCAACCCCATCCCCACCGAGCGGTGCAGCTGTACACACCCAGACTCCCAAATCCACACTCCATCGCAAAACAATGACCTCGCCTACCGCCCCAAGCCCGTCCCCGCCCGTGCCGGAGAGCATCCACGCACTCGACCACGAGATCCGAATGCACTGGCCGCGAATCCAGCACCTCCTCGCCGAGCTGCTGGACATCACGCCGCCGCCCCGCGACGCACCCATCACCCAACACACCAGCGCACAGGACCTCACGCAGATCCGCGGATGGGCGCGGCCGGGCCCTCCACAGCCGCTGGAGACGGTCATCGCGGAGGCGCAGACCATCTTCGACCACCGACTGCGCGTCAACCACCCGCTGTTCTTCGGGTTCATCCCGTCCGGCACGATCCAGCTGAGCTGGGTGGGCGACGTGCTGGTGGCGGCGTTCAACGCGCACGGCGGCGGCCGGAAGGTCGGGCGGGGCCCGTGCGTGGTCGAGGAGGAGCTGCTGCGGTGGCTGGCGGCGCGGCTGGGCCTGCCGGCCCGCACGGCGGGCGGGGTGTTCGTGTCCGGCGGGTCGGTCGCGAACCTGATGAGCATTGCCGTCGCGCGCGACCAGAGACTCGACGGCGCCGCGCGCGGGGTCATCTACCTCAGCGAGCAAGCCCACTACGCCGTCGCCAAGATGGCGCGCGTGCTCGGGTTCGCCGACCGCCAGGTCCATCGCGTCCGCTGCAGTGAGGTCTTTGAGCTCGACGTCGGCGATCTGCAAGCGCAGGTGGTCGCCGATCGGCGGCAGGGGCTGCTCCCGTTCATGATCGTCGCGACCTGCGGATATACCGAGACCGGGACGGTGGATCCCCTTGCCGAGCTGGCGGACATCGCGCGGAGAGAGTCGCTCTGGCTGCATGTCGACGGGGCGTACGGCGCCTCGGTGGCGCTGTCGCATGCCCATGCGCATCTCGTGGCCGGGCTCGGCGCCGCGGACAGCGTCGCCTGGGATGCGCACAAGTGGATCTTTTCCTCCTTTGGCTGCGGGATGCTCCTGGTCCGCGACCGGGGCCATTTGTGCTCGACCTTCGGGGTGCAGTCCGAACTGATGGATCAGCAGGCTGGCGGCTTGAGCGAGCAGCTTGAGCCGTGGGATCTCAGCGTGGAGCTGACCAGACCCGCTCGAGCCATGAGTCTGTGGTTCATGTTGAGAGTCTTGGGTGAGGGGCGGATTGGCAGAATGATCGATTATGGCATCGACATGGCGGCCTCAGTGCAAGCTCGCTTACAGGCTCGAGAGGGGTGGGAGATCCTCACGAATGCGAAGCTGGGTATCGTAACCTTCCGGTATAATCCCGGAACGTGCTCGGGGGATGGTCTAGATAGAATCAACACTACGATCTCGGACAGACTGGTCGAAGACAACCTGGCAGGCATTTTCTCTATTCGCGTGTCAGGAGTCGTGGGCCTCAGGATGTGTTGCATCACTACGCGACTGAGCGAGGAAGATATCGATCAATTTATTCAGCAAGTAGACAAGACTGCGAAACAGGTGGGTAAGGATTTCTAGTGGAATGATCGAGCCTATATTTCCAGAGACCCCTCCTATCCCTATCCACTCAGTTCGGTGCTGCTCAGCGTATAGTAAGATAATTGCTTCCTATTGAAACTCCACTTCCAAGGGAGTAATTCCTTCATGGACACATTCCAGGTTCTCCTGAGCTCAGATATATACACAAGGTAACACTCTCATGCACTATCTTCGGCAATTGGGGTGATGGGCACATAATAGGAGAACTTGTTGCCAGGGTCGTACTCGGTCTTGACGGCCCGTAGCTCCTGTAACCGCCATGCCTCGTAGCCGTATACGGACTCCAGCGACTCATGGCCAAATGCATAGTTGACATAGGTCGCTGGCACTCTGGCTGGCTGGCCGTCGAGCATAGCGTCCAGTATGCCGCTGGCAAGTTGCGATGCGGGTTCCTCAAGACGGAGGGTGGGCAAATAAGCTATCATAGCAAGTCTAGCACGTGAGCGTTAGCTTTCCACTTTCTGAGTCGTAGTGCACGGGGAGGATTCCAAATCGTACACCCGACTATTATCATCACGATGGGGAAATGCGGAGCTACGAGGATCAATTGCTCGGGCCGCTGCCGGGTTATTCGCCTCGAACAGAAGAATGGACGGCTTGAGTGCTGGATACGCCTTCAAGTACGCATTGAACAGTTCATACGCCCGACGACACGCTGTCACGTTGAATCTCCGGAGACCAGTGGTAGACATCATCTTCGATAGTCCCTTCGTACAGGGCAGACTGACCCTGCCGTTGCGCGTCGCATCCGGCATGGCGGGATAGGGCACGGCGCCTCCGACAACGTTGATCGGACCCAGATTGTCGAAGGGCGCCAGGTACTTTTCTGCTTCGCGGTCGGAGCCAAGGAAATTGAATGACCACCAAATCACGGCCTCGTCACTGTCAATTGGGGACGCAACAACGCAGGGGTCTGAAACTCACATCGCTGAGGTTGAAAAGCGGGTTCCACTCGTAATGGCCGAAATGGAAGTCCAGCTCGAGCGGCTGGGTTCCGGTGCCTATGAGGTTGTTGAGTTCTTGGAACAGGGTTTCGAGCTTATCCTCCGTGTAGAAGTAGTTTCGAAAGTACCAGGTCTGGGTCAGGGGTGGGTAGACCTTGATCTCAAGGCTTGTCACGACACCGAAGTTGTGGCCAGCCCCTTTCATCGACCAGAACAAGTCCGGATGGTAATCGTTCGAGACGACGATGGAACTTCCATTGGCAAGAACCACATTCAAGTTCACAAAGTTGTCGCTCATCATCCCATACTGGCCCTGGTATCTCCCGTGACCTCCACCGATGGCTGGGCCAACATATCCGATGCACGCGCAGATACTGGTCGCTAGGGCGAAGCCAACGTCAGCTATCAGACTTTGGAGGAGCAGCAGGCACTTACTGGTGACTAGACCCTCTTTCCAAAGCGCATCGATCAGGTTTTGTGTCTCAGTGCCCCCTTGCACAGTGGCAGTCTGTCTCGTGCGGTGTACGGTAACATCCTGCAACAGGCGTAGGTCGATTCCCAGCCCTCGGAATGTGCCCTGAGACATCGGCCACCCGTGGCCTCGATTGACCGTGTAGAAGGGAATGCTGTTTCTGTTCGCATACTGGATCTACTTCACCTTAGCCAATAGTCGGTTCGCACCACGGAGGACACCTACCACGGTGGAGACATCGGACTCACAGCCGACTTGGGCGATGACCGTGAACTGGGGAGGCAGGAATTCGTCATATCGCAGGGTCGCACCCAGCCAGCGAGGATCGTCGGGGCCAAAGACACTGGATGCGTCGCAGAGTAGTGGGCCAAGCTCGGTTTCAACTTGGAATGCCGTCAGTCCAGCCCGCGTCATGAGACAGAGGCCATCGACGCAGCCGGTCGGCGATGCTTGTCCCAGGGACGACAGAAGGACCAGTGCCCAAGTGATGAGAATAGGGAACTGCATGATGTTCAAGACGAAATATGAGCTAAGAAACCTTTCCGGAAGTGTGAAAGGAGTAATAGGAAAGTATGAAGATGGGTAGATGACGAGATAGAGGATCGAGGTGAATCAGCAGTGGCACCAACAGGGCAGGTGGTGATACAGTCACGTCCACGCTCCGAGCCCTGGGAGAGAAGGAGCAATGAGCGCAGACCCCCTTTGCTGCGACTGCCACTTTCGGGCTTTCCACTCGCTCTCTCTACTTCATAGCGCCGTCCTACAACAGAGCCCTGAGGGAGTTGCATATGTTGGAGACACGGTCACATGATCGTGCCCGCGCAGTGTATGGTGAGTTTCGGCAGTCTATAGTCGAGAGTTAGAACACCTTAGACACTCCTGCTGTGCTGAACAGTATACATCTTGCAATCTGGCAACGTGCCAGAGATTGACATCCATCTCGTAAACTTGATTTGGGCCGACAGTTGACCAGCAGGGAAATTGAAGCCAGAAATCCAACATACAGATCATGTGTGACCTCAATTCCGTTACACTCGTGGATTGCGTTCCCTTGTACAAACCTGTATAAACCTCTACATCACGCTCTGCAAATTCCACTGTGGAGACCGATTGAATGTATCCCTTCGCGTACATGTGAGCGCAGAAACGAAGGAAAGGTCTTGTAATTCGGACATCGACCCTTCCTGCAGGTCGCAGGTCTCCGGCTAGTCCTGAGGCGCCGATGTTCGCAGCTTCCTCTTTATCAAGGGTACGAGCAAAGCTCCCGGGATCTCAACGATCGATGTCTATCAGCGTCTGAAGACCGGATTCAAGTCCGAATGTACCATTTCGCCATCTCAACGAGGTCAAGATCCAGGTCTTGTAAGTTGTTCTGTGTCAAGATCTTGGTGGATATATAAAATGTGTAATGGACACCTCAGAGGCTACCCGAGTAGATCAAGCCACGCCAACCCACCCTAACAGGGGTCTCCAAAGCTTACCCTCGTGGCTCTCCCCTTGTATGTATTTTCCTTACAGACGACGACCGCATCAGTCAAGCCAATTCCTCTGCAGTACCAGTCCACACTTCAAGTGAGTCAAGTCCAGCACAAGTAAACAAAGACGGTTGAATTGCGATGGGGGTAGTTCAACAACTGCAATTCCAAGAATCAAATCTCGGCCTACAGAACAAAGCCTGAATGCCACGCTGCCGCCAACCCTGGCCCTAGACTCTCATCCAAACGATCAACTCTAGTCCTTGGCGTCATCCCAAAGTCCAGCCCCACCGCGAAGAAAACTCAAGCATCGTTCCACACCGGCTAAAGTCTTGCAGTGGGCTGCAGCACGTCAACGGTCTGGATTTGGCTCCAATCTTCTGATTCCCAGCGGGGTCGTCTGTGATGCTTCCAGATGCTGAGTTGAAGATCCATGTGGTCAACTGAAGGTGTTATCGGTCTCTGCGCAGACGACACTTGACAATGAGCGCGAGATGCAGCCAGACTTGTCAGCCAACAGAAACAGCAACAAGCTGCAGGCAGCAGGCCAGTGAACCCACCGACTACCTCCGTGCCATCATCCTTCCAGTCCTCTAGCCTCGTGGGCTCCGGTGCCGGCCTACCCAGTGTCATGATGACACTAGTGGTTCTAGTCCCTGCCAGTTCCAGCAGAACCACCGACTAGTCCGACGGGTGTGTGCCCCTGCGGCGACAGCAGCATCCCGGGCAGCTTGATTGCCACTGAGCTCGAGCCCCTCCGACGTGAGCCATTGAGACAAGCTCAAAATTACTTGACGGAAGGCAATGTCCGCCATCGACGGATGCATTACCATCATCACTACCATCGCCACCGTCCTGACTCGTAGCCTGCCTCTATCGCCATCACCCATCATCGGACTGGAGCACTCAGATCCCTCTCTACCCACATGTGCCACGACGACGTTCAATTCGCCAACCATGCAGCCACCGTTCTTTGCGGGGTCATCCCACCTCTCACAGGTGTATCCGCCTGAACTTCTCGCCGTCGGGCTACCTTCTCCAGATGCGAACAGCGTCGGGCGTGTGCCTACAAGAAACGGCGCTACCATCGCCAGTCGCGGCAACTCGACCGTCGGGCGAACTAGCAAGGGGGTGTGGATAGCCACCGGGAAGGCAATCTCGTTTACGCAGGGGGGCCACCAGTTGCACTCGAAGGCGAGCCCATCAGTGCACCAGATCATGGTGGTGCATGGAGTGCGTCAAGGAACCACTCGACGACCGGCACACATCACATCTCCAAGCTGTAGCGGGTGTGGCCTGGTGCGACCGTGGCGAGACCAAGTGACGCCGAATGCCAATAGCAGGAGTGATTCAATCCCCTCACATCCAATGCTGGGTGCATCCCCGACCAGTCTGCTAGCTAACTTCACACATTACATAACCCTGACTAGGCTATTGAACGCGAGACTCGAGAAATGTAGCCGAGACTACTACAACCAAGTATGAAGAGTATTGTGAATTGAGATTTGTCAAGCAAAGTCTCTCGAGCGAATGTTGAATTTTCCTCCACCAAGTCATTTCATCGAGTGGTCACTTCGCTGGTCGGAGACTACAGAGTTTTCTCGGGTGGGGAGTCAGATAATTATTTATCACGATGCGACCAGTTTACGTTGCAGCCAGGCCACGTACTAGTGGAACACACTAAAATTTACTGTGTGTAGTGTAGTTAGTGTGTAGTCTGTGTCAGACGCTCCAGGGCTGTTGGGTGGTCTACCAGACTCATCCCCACCGGTGACACGGTGAAAAATCTGATACTTACCAGGGCCACGGATCAGATAAGACAAGATCGCGATCAGATAACCTGCATCACTGGGCGACCGGTGACTGGATGCTGGGTAAGTATTCAACCCTCACCGAGAAAACACTCACCGCGACGCGAGAGATTTGTTGTTCTCCACTGACAGCAGACCAAGACCAGTCCGAGAAATTAGCGATAGGTGGAAACGGCGTGAGAACGCACAGTGGGGGGGGGTGTGAGGGGGTGTGATGCAGCCAGAGGGGCGCCAATTCTCGTGCTATCCCAGTGCCCCTCTTTTCTCCGCTTGGCGGTACCGTACCATACATGCGTGATACCACCCCTCCCTTACCAACTTACAATACTATACAGACGTACAGTTCAATCTACACAGTACAACCAACACAGCTCCGTTTCTCTCCGTTCACCCTCTCCCTCCCTCTCCAGCCGGCCGAAGCCTTAGCCACTGCTCAAGAAACTCAAGAAACCCAAGAAACCCAAGAAATTCAAGAAACGAGCCGCCCCACCGTAGCTCCTGCGCAAACTTACTTGCCCACACTAACGCAGCCATGCCCAGCCAGCATAATCAGATGGCCTGGTGGATCGGAGCACATTTCCCACCTAGTACTTACTCAGTCAAAGACTGCTCTCCGAGTCACGCTGCGCTAGCCCCGGCGAAGAACCCCCCACGGCGATGACCACTGCTTATTCTTTTATAAAGGGCATGGACCTCCCCTTGCGCTGCACCTGCTCGACTTCTTCCATCCCACCCTGCCCTTTGGAGTTCCACCCTCACCCACCCCGCCCTCCAACATGTTCACCAAGTTGCGGGCTCCCTTCCGTCGGTCGACGACGGACGAGGCCGGCACCGCCGTCACCCTGCCCTCCCCCTCCCCCTCCCCCGTCGACGGCTCCAGCAGCGCCCTGCCCGGCGAGAAGAACGTCGAGGCCGGCGTAGCCCCCACCACCGACAGCACCAACACCGACTCGGACGAGGAGCACCCCGAATCCACCGAGGATCAGGCCGGTACCTTCACCGTCGAGGCCATCACCGCCACCTGGACCAAGGCCTCTTTGATTGCCGTCTTCATCAAGTACGCCTGCCCCCTCCCTTCCGCGTGGTTTCATCTACCCGACTACCTCAATCCTGAGTGCTGGGGCAATATACCGTTCCCGGGGAGAACCCCCGGACCCCCCTTTCTTTCAGCTCCCCAGCAACCTCAATCTTGAGTGCTGGGGCAGTATACCGTTCCGGGGGAGAACCCCCGGACCCCCCTTTCTTTCACCTCCCCAGCATCCGCAACTTCATAGCATACCCCAACAGCACCACTAACAGACCCAGCATCTGGTTCCTCTACTTCGTCAACGCCTTCCAAGTCGAAATCCTGTCCACGCTGGTCCCCTATCTCGCCTCGGCCTGGGACTCGCACTCGCTGCTCAATGTCATCTACGTGGTCTCCGACTGCTGCACGGCGGCCATCTTCATCCCGCTGGCCAAGATGATGGACGTGTGGGGCCGCGCCGAGGGCTTCGCCTTCATGGCCATCATCTCGACGATGGGGCTGATCATCATGGCGGCGTGCCACAACCTGCCCACCTTCTGCGCGGGCTACGTCTTCTACAACGTCGGCTTCTCGGGCATCACCTTCTGCGTCGACACGCTGACCGCCGACGCGTCGCAGCTGCGCAACCGAGCGCTGGCCTACGCCTTCACCTCGTCGCCCTACATCATCTCCGCCTTCGCGGGCCCCAAGGCCGGCGAGGACGCCCTCGGCATGAGCATGCGCTGGGCCTTCGGCGCCTTCGCCATCATCTTCCCCGTCGTCGCCGCCCCGCTGTACTGCATCCTGCGCTACAACACCAACAAGGCCAAGAAGGAGGGCCGCCTCGTGCGCGAGCGCAGCGGCCGCACGCTGACCCAGAACATCTGGTTCTGGGCCATGGAGTTCGACGGTACGCCCCTTTCCCTGCCCCCCCTTCATCCCCCCTCGAACTAACATCCTCCGCAGTGGTCGGCGTCCTCCTCTTCTCGGCCGGACTGGTCGTCTTCTTCCTCCCGTTCGACATCGCCAGCATGGCCCCGCACGGCTGGAAGACGGGGTACATCATCGCGATGATCGTGGTGGGGTTCTCGATGATCGTCTTCTTCGCGATCTGGGAGTACTACTTCGCGCGGGTGCCGTTCATGAAGCTGAAGTACCTGACGGACCGGACGGTGCTGGGGGCGTGCCTGCTGGACGCGACGTACCAGGTGTGCTACTACTGCTGGGACAGCTACTTCACCTCGTTCCTGCAGGTGGTCAACGACCTGTCGGTGGCGGACGCCGGGTACGTGAACAACACGTTCGACGTGGTGTCGGGCGTGCTGCTGCTGTTCATCGGCTGGCTGATCTCGCGCACCGGCAAGTTCCGCTGGCTGCTGTACTGGGCGGTGCCGCTGTACATCTTCGCGCAGGGGCTGATGATCTACTTCCGCCGCCCCAACCAGAACGTCGGGTACCTGGTGATGTGCCAGATCTTCATTTCCATTGGGGGCTCGGTGTTTATCCTCGTGCAGCAGCTGGCCGTCGAGGCCGCCGTCGACCACCGCCACGTCGCCGCCACGCTGGCGCTGCTGAACGTCGTCGGCACCGTCGCCGACGGCATCGGCTCCACCATCTCCGGCGCCATCTGGACCAACACCTTCGAGAAGGGCCTGTACAAGTACCTGCCCGCCGACGCCCTCCCGGACATCGACGACATCTACGAGGACATCGACACCCAGCTCAGCTACCCGGTCGGCAGCGCCGTGCGCACCGCCATCCAGGAGGCCTACGGCTACGCCCAGACCCGCATGCTGGCCGTCGGCACCGGCCTGTTCGCGCTGGCCTTCATCTGGATGTTCATGATCCGCGACATCGACCTGCGCAAGAAGAAGCAGGTCCACGGCATGGTGTGGTAGGCAGCAGCAGCAGCAGCAGCAACACAACCCACACAAAAATCACCATCACCATCACCATCACCAAAAGGGGAGAAGAAGGGGAGGGAAGCGCTGCTTCCACCTACAGATACCTGGCGCTTTGCCGTTTTTCCACGTTACCCCGTTTTCATCCGCAGCCCCTGACCACGGGCTGTTTAGTTTATACCTCTGTATCTAGTTTTAATTCACCTGCATTGCCTGCATCCTGCATCTGGTGTCTTGCTGTAGTGGGGGGATCGTGCATGAGTGCATACAGTTCTACAGTGTAGTCGGACGAACATCAAACTTGGCTTTTCTTGGTGTCTTGGACAGTCTTGGTTGTGTCTTGGTGTCTTGGTGTTGGTGTCTTGGACAGTCTTGGACAGTCTTGGACAGTCTTGGACAGTCTTGGTGTCTTGGACTCTTGGTGTTTTAGGCTCTTAGACTCTAGACGCAAAGCTTAGACGGGCGAGAACCGACTTGGCAGCAGCCTCAGCCACAGCCAGTCTCAGCGGGATTGCCGACCGTGCAACATGACACCAATTCATCCGGGAGTCCATCCCGTGGGATAGGATTTGTTCTCTGGCACCGGGGACAAGAAAGACGAGGATAAGTTACTAAAGGAGCAATGGAGTGAAAACTCTGCTCGTATACGATCCGGTACCCCGACCAGGTAAGGTAGCACCGCTCCAGACCAAAAGCAACCTAGGAACGGTGGCGTAACTAGGTCCCTAGTAGCTTCCAGCATTGCTCTACCTCTAGTCTACCACCACTCCATCGGTTTACCCTCGACTGTGCTATGAGCTGAGCTATGAGTATGATTATCAGTGCAACCACCGACCGAAGCGTCGTGACCGTGACCGGAAAGGACTGGATCCCGATCAGATAACTCCTTCCACTTCTGCGGAGAGCGGATTCAGCACAGTGGACCCCTCCGTAAACATGACGCCGACGCGCATGACAGGCCTTGGAATTCGGGCGGAAAGAGGAGTTTGACCTGGTCCACTGCTGGTGGGTTCCATGATGTTGTTGTGGGTGCGTGATGGGTTCGGGTGCAGCGCCGCTTGCCGGGCGCCGGTATCGCTACTTCCTGGACTCCAGTGGATGGTTATTGATTCGGTCGGCGTTGGTTTAGACTGCTGACTTGCAGTATCGATAAATTTGTTTTTGTTTACTGCAGAATTCCGGAGATGGGATGGGGAGGTGGTGGCCGGAGGTGAAGCGCAGAGATTTTATCTGATCGTGCCTCGTTCGCATCCACGGATTCTGAGCTTGACTAGTCTAGTGGGCGAGGTGCGAGGATTCGAGGGCGCCACGGTGGGGAGGGGGGATGGCTAGGGATTCCGGTTTTCACCATGTATGGATGGACGTCGGTAAGGGTAAGTGTGGTGATACGCATGGTACAGCCGTTGGTACAGTACTGTTTATTGTTCCTTAAGCGAGAGTGCCCGACCGACGTTCAAACAAGGTACGCTGCAGCTGTGGTGTAATGTTACACCACCTGCGGCAGTACGTATCTATAGACCGTAAAGCTGTACTACCTCAGAGTCCCAACTGACGTTCAAACAAGGTAGACTGCAGCTGTAGTGTAATATTACACCACCTCCTGCAGGCGTACGGTCTGTACT